CTATTGACATTTAATTTAAACTAAAAATAGAATATTCTCTATAACTATGGTAATTAATACTTTCCATATTTTGTGAATGATAATAATTTTAATTTTTATGCAGATTATACGTTCTATTTAATTTGAATATCATTTTTCCATCTATAATATTATTTAAAGATCCGATATGANAGTATGCCAATTTTTAGTGTTCAAATGTTTTTTAAACTTATCTTAAAGTTAAGTTTTAGATCTAAACATAAATAAAAATACAAACTTGTCATAGTTTATTAGTAACCAAAAAAAAGAAAATAATATTTTTATATCAAATAATGAAGTTTCCTATTACCATTGTTTCATTTTCTTCAAATGACTCAATACAAATTTCATTAAAGTTTAATTTTTTTCAATTTTATATAATATTAAGAAGTATGAATTATTTAATAAACATTCAAAAATATGATCTATTTTTGGATTTTTAGCGGATCATCTCATATTGAATATTAGGTCAATGGCGAATTATTAGATTCTTACCAGATTTTCTAAGATTATAATTACAATTCTTTTTATTAAATTGAACTGAATTATACACATATCACCGGATTTATCGTTTCAATCATAGGTCTGGGTTAGATATGAAAACATCACTTGAAACACAAATTGAAAAATTTAAAACTATTTATTTTCTAATAAAAATTATAAATTCAATTCAGTTTTATTAAAATAAAAATATATCCGCGCTTTTAAAGCGCGGGTCCAAATCTAGTTAAAAATTGTTTAAGATACATTAAAAATGATTGGGTGAACTAAAAAATGTTAACATTATTTTTTTTAATAATATAAAATTAAATAAAAGATAAAGAGGATAAAAAGTTGTTATCAGATATCTACTATTCATAATTATTAGTTGTGATATATATGTTAATCATATCAGGTAATTGCGTATATTTTATTTAAGAAAATAATAGACAACTAGGATAAGACCTGCGCCTTGCGCATGGTGAATATATGTAACTAAAATATAAATTTTAAGTATTGACAAATTTAAAATTTACATATAATTTTTTTTATATGTATTTGAAATTTTAAAATTTTGGAATTTTTATATAATTATATATACATAGAATCAGAAACAATTGTAATTAGAACTATAGATCAAATCTTAGAATTTAATAGACCCGATTTCATATATCTTTTCACTTTTTTCAGTGTTCGAGTGATGGAAAATAAACTGAGTGTCATTGAGTTTGATTGATAGAGTATTAGCCAGTTCTCTAAGGTTTTTTTAAGAAGCAGTTGGTAAAATATTTGCGTTTAAAATATGTAAAGTTTCAAAACTAATTTAATATAATTTATTTATTTGTGTAATAATATTATAAAATTATATTTTTTTACAAATTATATTTTTGAAATAATTTTTATATAAATTAAGTTAAATTTTAAATTATTTTTAAAAACAATATTTTAAGTTTTTCAAATACAAATAAACATTTAAAATTAATTATGGTCATGATTTAACATAACCATAATGAATTTAAAAAAAAGTAAAGAATTTAAAAATTAACAAATTAAAAATTAACTCAGTTTTATATCATGTTTTAACAATTTAAAAATTAATTAAGGTTATGAAAATTAAATTAAAGGGATGATGGTTCATATTAATTTTGGGTATGCAACAATTTTCAAACCAAACCACATTTTATTATGTACGTGATCTATTTAGTTAATCATTAAAAATTGTTTAAGATACATTAAAAACGATTGGGTGAACTAAAAAATGTTACCATTATTTTTTTTAATAATATAAAATTAAATAAAAGATAAAGAGGATAAAAAGTTGTTATCAGATATCTACTATTCATAATTATTAGTTGTGATATATATGTTAATCATATTAGGTAATTGCGTATATTTTATTTAAGAAAATAATACACAATATTCTTTTGTATACTATTAACTAAATATGGTAGTTAGTTTAATAAAAGTATAACATATGTTTAGTTGGAACAACATATTTCTCTAAGAGTTCTGAAAATCATTTTCATTGTGACACGTATTTACCAAAATATGTTATAATGCTCCAGGATTAATATATAGGGGATACCTGCGCATTTGCGCGGGATGAGAATTATATATACAAATTAATTTATGTCTTATTTTTTTTATTTTGTGTTATTTTATATATTATAAAATAATATATATATATATATATTGAATCATTGAAAAATCTGTAACAATTATATATACAATTAATTTAGCGAACACTTAAATAAAATAATCATATTTGTTTATTTACAGTCATTTTATATAAGTAAATATAATTAATAAATTATATATATATTATAACTTTAATTTAGATATCTAATAAATGAACATTCACACTTACATGGTTTTATATATTTTTATAGTAAAAAATTTATAATATTGATAACATCATTTTTAGTGTGGAGATTTAATATTTACAGTCATAGTGAAATTTTTAAAATTTTTTTATTAATTTATAGCCGTTTATTAAAATTCAAAGTATAACATATATATAAAAAATCTATTTATTTTTGTTATATAATTAATATTATTGTTAATTTATCTTCACAATATAAATTTAACAAAAAAAGAAGAGGCTATACAATTTTTTTATCAAATTTTTCAGATTCAAATCATTAGTTCTCATATATATATTATAACCATATTAGGTAATTCCATAAATTTTATTTAAGGAAATAATGATTAACATTAATAATATTTTTATATTTAGTTTAATAAAAAATATATTATATGTTTATATGGACCAATATTTTTTTCTAGTAAATTTGAGATCATTTTCATGATGACACATGGCTACTAAAACATGTTGTAATGTTTATCGGTTAAATATATAGGAGATAGTTTTGATAAGGCTTGATTTAGGATTTACATGAAAATAATAAAACTACATAATTAAAAAATATGATAAAATATTAATTTGCACATACTTTGGAAGTTATATATTACACTTTAATTTCTTACTCATATGAACTTCTTTTCCCACCATTTAAATACGTATATGTAAATAAATAAATAAATATATATATATATATTCTAGCTGTTTTCTATCTAGAGAAAATTTCATTTAGACAGGTTGTAAACTTTTCCGTAAAAGAGTTCATCGCACTGTTAAGATCTGTGTTCTAGAAGATTTTATTATATTAAGTATCTCAGACTTGGGAACGAATATAATAGTTGTTATTGACTATGTGCTGAAAGATCATATTCATGTGGTGAGGTTTACAGTTTAATACGTTCTTACAAAGTAGTAGTGGAAGATAGTGAATATTAAAAAAAAAAAAGATAGTGAATATACAAAATCAAGCTATACAATAACATAATATAATTTTAAAACTTAAACGAGATTGAACGCTTTGAAAATATTATCATCCTAAGCAAATAGGGTATTTTATAGTCAGAAAAATGTGTTTTGGTCAAAACAAAATTGGTAAAATATATTGGAAATGTAATATCCTTTAAAATGAATATATTCTATACTCCAATTATAGCTATAAATATATACAATTATGGTTATAAATATAGTAGAATGGGTGAATATATTTTATAGTCAGAAAATGTTTTTTGGTCAAAACAAAATTGGTAAATATATTGGATATCTCATATCTTATAAAATGAATATATATTATAGTCCAATTATAGCTATAAATATATACAATTATGGTTATAAATGTAGTAGGATGGATATATTTTATGTTTTGATCAAAAACAATTTGGTAATATATTGGATATCTAATATCTTTGAAAATGAATATTTTATAGTTTATAGCTATAAATATATACAATTATGGTTATAAATATAGTAGAATGGATTTATTTTATAGTCAGAAAATGTGTTTTGATGAAAACAAATTTGGTAATATATCTATATATTTTAAAATGAATTTATTTTATAGTCCAATTATAGCTATAAATATATATAATTATGGTTATAAATATAGTAGAATGGATAGTCAGAAAATGTGTTTTGGTCATAACAAAATTGGTAAATAGATTTGATATCTAAGATCTTTTGAAATGAATATATTATATAGTCCAATTATAGCTGTAAATATATATAATTATGGTTATAAATATAGTAGAATGGATATATTTTATAGTCAGAAAATGTGTGTTTGGTCAAAACAAAATTGGTAAATATATTTGATATCTAATATATTTTAAGATGAATATCTTTTATAATCCAATTATAGCTATAAATATAAACAAATATGGTTATAAATATAGTAGAATGGATCTGCTAAAACTTAGCATACAAGTATATGTTTATTATCTTGAATTCCAACAAACACATTAAGCAAATTCGTCTTTTCTTTTAACTGTTTATTTTTATTTTTATTTGTTTTGAACTCAATGCCAAAATGTAAGCTTAACTCCAAAAGAATTCAGTCAGGATAGGATGAAAATGACGTGTAATAGTCAACATTGAATGTAACTGTAATAAAACCAACTAAGGAAATGTTCACTTTCCATTTATTTGTAACCGCTACATAAAACTACCACAAATCAACAAAATCTATGGTAAGATAAGATGATTAAATATTTTCATTATTTGTCTCAAAATTAAACTTTTAACATAAATGTGACTTTCATACGTGTATAAAACGAGTAGAGATTGACATTATATCTACCAGTCAATTTCACATTCTTCTCCATCACAAACCAATCATGTCATCTCCAACACAAGAACAACTACACACTTACCATGAGGAAGAAAGAGAGATATTCTCTAAACTGGTCTTACAATTTGCAAGACCACCATCTGAATCACTTCTTGTCATGTCCACATGGTTTTGGCTTGAAAGCTTTGGTTACGACGACATTTTCCCAACCATCTCTGCTCTTCCAGATCAACTCATTACACCTTTTGTTAACGAAGCTGTCTCATGTCTCCGATGCATTGAGTCCTCTGAACCCCCAAATGAGTCAAATCATGACTNTTACAATTTGCAAGACCACCATCTGAATCACTTCTTGTCATGTCCACATGGTTTTGGCTTGAAAGCTTTGGTTACGACGACATTTTCCCAACCATCTCTGCTCTTCCAGATCAACTCATTACACCTTTTGTTAACGAAGCTGTCTCATGTCTCCGATGCATTGAGTCCTCTGAACCCCCAAATGAGTCAAATCATGACTTGATCAACCAGATCCCTCTCACTTCAAGCTATTTGGAAAAAGACATCTCACTTCCCTTTATCTACAAAAATCGATACACCGCCATTGCTGGAATCAAAACCTTTCTAACCACCAATTGTTCTAGGATTTTTACCGACATCCTTACACAAGTTGTTCCATATACTCCACCACCATACAGTGTCTCCGGGCTCCAGCACCCTCTGATGATACCAGGCTTCCCGCATCCGACTTTCGGAAACATCAACGTCATGCCTGATGCCCCCAACAACACCGCACTCATCTTCCCATCTAATATTTGGGAGTGGAACGATCACTGCATGGAAACTGAGAACGACCGAACCTTGTTTTTAACGTTTTCTCGTGGCTTTCCTGTGTCGCAGGCCGAAGTTAGAGAGCTTTTCACCAGCAGATTTGGAGAAAAGTGTGTTGTGGGCGTCTACATGCGAGAAGACTACTGCGTTAATGCACCTAACAACACATTTGCGTGTAACAATGATCAGCAACAACCACTGTTCGCAAAATTGGTTTTGGACTCGGTGATTACTGTGGATCGTGTGCTAGAAGGTGAGAAGCTCCAAAAGTTTAGGATCAATGGAAAACACATTTGGGCTCGTAAGTACAACGAGAAGAGGGACGGACGTACTTGCTTCACCTAAAAGTCGACAGAAAATTTAATTTTTCTTTTNGTAACAATGATCAGCAACAACCACTGTTCGCAAAATTGGTTTTGGACTCGGTGATTACTGTGGATCGTGTGCTAGAAGGTGAGAAGCTCCAAAAGTTTAGGATCAATGGAAAACACATTTGGGCTCGTAAGTACAACGAGAAGAGGGACGGACGTACTTGCTTCACCTAAAAGTCGACAGAAAATTTAATTTTTCTTTTGTTCATCTTTTATCTTTATGTTATGATTTAATAATTAGAAAACATATGTAACGCTTAGCTCTTTTGGACTGCCTGATTATGAATGGATTATGTTTTCAAATAATTTAGCGTTCAATGTCACTACAATTTTTGTTTCAAACAAAAAAATGTCACTACAACATTTTTGTGCATGAACGCATCCCCCTCTTTATTGACTTGAAAGAATAATTTCCTGAAAACCAAAATGTAAGTACAAAATCAGATTATTTTTCAAGTTGAATATTCTTTCTTTTTTTTTTTTGGCGAAGGGCTTAAGTTGATTTTTTTTCCCAAGTTAATATAATAGTTTTGATAAGGCTTGCTATAGGATTTACGTGAAAACAATTAAATTACATAATTAGATCTCAAACATTAATGAAAATATATGATAAAATAATAATTTGCTCATGATTTGGAAATTATATATTACATTCTAATTTCTTACTCATATGAACTTGTTTTTCCTCCTTTTAAAATACAAATATCACAAAAATAAATAAAGTGACTTGCCAGTTAGTTTATGTTTACTGTTTGGAATGGTATTCACATTCCTAACAATCAATGATAGATTAAAGTGAAGATATGGTAAACTTCATCAATGGTGATATACTTCAAATGTTTTTTACAGGTGAAACAGAAGAGGCATCTTAAAATTATATTCATATTTATAAATAATTATTTTCTCTCAAACAGAAATCATCAAAGGTCTTTATGAGATTTATTTTTTAGTTTCTTTAAGTTTTACAGAAAAACTATCTTCAAATATGATAATATTTAAAGAATCTTTATCATGAACCGTTTACAATCCAAGATAGAAATAGAGCATGTGACCTTTACAAGAAGGAAAGAAGAACATGGAACAAAAGCTGTGTTGTTTTGATGAGGCTAAATCAGTAAATATGTTTGATATGTGTTGTTTTTTTTTGTAATTATTTTTAAATCATGATGTAGATTCTGACAAAAATATAATGAAAGTTGTTAATTTTAGTTCTGTTATTGAAATCTTAATTGATATTGGAAAATATATTGTTTGTTATGTATAATAGCATTGATTAATAAAAAATAATAATTATGCTAATTATTTAATAAAATAAATTTGTTACTACTCTTAAAATTTTCTTATATTGACGTAATTATTATAATAATTGATATTAATTTTAACATGAATTATTTACAACTGAAATAAATATTTAACATCAATCATAATATTATTTGAGAAGTCAGTTTCCTACGTGTCGCGCTCACGTTAATTCTCACGATGGTTGATTACATAGATACCCTTAATGATTTGTTAGATTTTAAGATTATTATTTTTTATTTAATTTTTTTTACCCTTTTCCAAATAACATATACAATAAAAAGGAAATATTTCTAAAATTTTAAAACAAATTTTAAAAACGAAAATATATGTATATAATATGACTTTATTAAAACGGAAAGTTCACAAAATAGCAATACCCCATTAATATATATTTTAAAATAACATAAAATATATTTTCAAAATAATAAAAATATATATGTTCATGAACATCCAAAAACTTATCAGTTGCACTTTATTTTCTAATACTTTTTAGAAATCAACATATAATTTAATAAATATTATGAAAATACATGTATATTTAAGCGAGATTTGACTTAACTAAAATAAATAGTAAATAAATATTATGAAAATACATGTATATTTAAGCGATAAATAAAACTAATTTGATTTGACTTAACTAAAATAAAAAGCAATTATTCTTCAATTTTAATTTACAAATATATTATATTCAATATACTCACAAAATGAATGACTCTGCTAATCTAATTTATATTCAAAATTAATCAACTAACTACAATAAGAACATATAATTTTATAATAATAATAATAATAATATTAATAATCTATTTAGTTTTATACATATAAACTAGAGGTTGCCACAAAGCATATTAAAAAGAAAAAGAAAATATTAACAAATTTAATTCTTTTTAGAATTTATATATATGCATGCGACTTCAAAATATTATCATTACATTCATTTATGTAATTTTGAATTAAACACTTCAGCTTATTATTTATTTCATTTTAAGCACAATATATATATATATATATATATATATATATATATATATATATATATATATTAAGTTATACATAATTTAACTATAATATATTTACATATCTAAGAATTTATTTACATATATAAAGACAATAGCCATCCGAAATGAAAATAAAAAAATTAATCAAAGTTTTATTATATTTAGAATAAAAAATATTATAGCTGAATTCAAAAAATAATATTATCTAATATACCAAATTGATAACCAAACCGACTATTGATAAAAAAAAAATTAAACCAGTAATAATATATCCAAATTCATATGTATAATTAGAATAATATAATGTTTATTAATATAAATTATACATATAAATTGATTAAAAACTAAAACTAAATACCAATCGATTATTTATTTCATTTAAGCACAATATATATTAAGTTATACACAATTTAACTATCATATATTTACATATCTAAGAATATAGTTACATATCTAAAGACAATAACCAACCGAAATGAAAATAAAGAAATTAATCAAAGTTTTATTATATTTAGAATAAAAGATATGATAGCTGAATTAAAAAAAATAGATATTATCCAATATACCAAATTGATAACCAAACCAACTTTTGATCCGAAAAATAATTACACCGACAATAATATATCCAAAGTCATATGTATAATTAGAATAATATAATACTTATTTATATAAATTATACATATTAATTGATTCAAAACTAAAACTAAATACCAATCAATTCTTATAAAATTTTACTTTTATGAATATTCATACCCGTGCATGAGCACGGGAAAATCACCTAGTTATAATTAATGATGAACATCATTTTAACAATTGACACATACTAACATCACTTACAAATAGTTGATGACAATATTTGCTATTTTACATTGTTTTGAAAAAAAATAATATAAATTATTTGCATCTCCCAAAAAGTAAATCATTTATTTAAGTGATGTGAAATGTTTTTACATAATTTATAAGTATAATAATACAAATATAAAAATAACTGATTTAAACTAATCCTTTGTTGTAGTGTTTCAATTTAGTAGTTGTAACAGCTACATACTACCACAGATGATCAAATATATGGTAAGATCACATGACTAACTATTTGCATTAATTGTCTCAAAATAACTTCTTTACAAACATGTGACTATCATACGCGTATAAAGCGAGCAGGATGACACTATATATCTACCAGTCCATTTCACATTCTTCTCCATCACAAACCAGTCATGTCATCTCTAACACAAGAACAACTACACATTTACCCGGAAGTAAGGGTGATATTCTCTAAACTGGTCGTTCAATTTGAAAGACCACCATGTGAATCACTTCTTGTCATGTCCACATGGTTATGGCTTGAAAATGTTGGTTGTGAAAACATTTTCCCAACCATCTCTAATCTTCCAGATGATCTCCTTGTAACTTTTGCTAACGAAGCTGTCACCTGCTTCCAATGCCTTGAGTCCCCTGAACCCCCGAATGGCTCGATCAACAAGATCCCTCTCACTTCAAGCTCTATAAACATCTCACTTCCCGATATCTACCAAAATCGATGCGAAGCCATTGCTGGAATCAAAACTATTTTAACCACCATTTGTTCTAGAATTTTTACCGACATCCTTACACAAGTTGTTCCATATACTCCACCACCATACAATGTCCCCGGGCTCCAGCACCCTCTGATGATACCAGGCTTCCCGCATCCGACTTTCGGAAACATCAACGTCATGCCTGATGCCCCCAACAACACCGCACTCATCTTGCCAACTGATCCTTGGGATTGGAACGATCACTGCATGGAAAGTGAGAACCACCGAACCTTGTTTTTAACGTTTTCTCGTGGCTTTCCTGTGTCGAAGGCCGAAGTTAAGGAGTTTTTCACCAGCACGTTTGGAGAAAAGTGTGTTGAAGGCGTCTACATGCGAGGAAACAATCAATCACTGTGTGCAAAGTTGGTTTTGGACTCGGTCGTTACTAAGGATCGTGTGCTACAAGGTCGCCAGAAAGAAAAGTTTACGATCAATAATAATAGGGTTACAAAAACCATTTGGGCTAGTAAGTACGAGGAAAAGAAGAGCGGACGTCGTACTTAATTGCTTCACCTAAAAGTCGAAAGAAATTTTAATGTTTCTTTTGTTTATCTTTGTCTTTATGTTATAAAAATAATTATTAGAAAACATATGTGTGTGCATGGAATAAGTTTTCTAAACGCTTTGCTCTTTTAAACTTCCTGATTATGTATGGAATATGTTTTCACATAATTAAGCGTCGAGCAAATTTACTTTAAAGCAAGTATAACACAACATTATTGTGCATGAACACATCATCTCTTTTTTTATTGAGCTTATGATTCGGTTTTGATTAGGCGATTAACCAGAATTAATTTGTATCCGTTTCTATTGACTTGAAGGAATCATTTCTTGAAAACCAAAATGGAAGTACATATCATATTTGTTTTCAAGTAAAATTTTCTTCCAAGTTAATATAAATAATTATGTACTGTATTTTTCATATAATAGTTTTGATAAGGCTTGCTTTAGGATTTACATGAAAACAATTAAACTACATGATTAAAAACTATGATAACGCAAAGATTAATTTGCACATACTTTGGAAATTATATGTTACACTTTAATTTCTTACTCTCATATGAACTTCTTTTCCCACCATTTTAATACGTATATGTAAATAAATAAAATGACATGTTTTGCCACCTTTTAAATACATACAGTATATCACAAAATAAAAATAATGACATGGTTTGCCTTTCAAAATGCGTCTGCCGGTAGTCGAACCCGGGTCTATTGCTTGGAAGGCAATTATCCTAACCGTTGGACTACAGACGCTTGTTGACATGTTATCACGATTATTTACAAATTCACCAAGCCATCTTCATTTAGTCCTTCCAACGATGTACAAATTTACAGTTCTAAACTTTATGCATTCGATGACAAAAAAGAAAAAAGAAAAACTTTATGCATTCAGTCGTTTGTATATGCTGAGGCTGAAGATAGCAAGCGTGAGGAAGTTCATTCAATTTTTTTATATCTTGTCACGTGCTAGCAAGTGTCGATGGCCAAACCAACTATTAACTATGCCTTTGTCAAAATGCACTCACATCCTCTGATATCGTATACAGAATTGATTCAAATAATCTCAACTTTATCTCTCGTTATCGACTAGAAATAGATGGGTCACAATTAAAATATAGAATGACTTGGTACAATTGGAGTCAGCAAAATTTGAGGTCTGACATCAAATCATACAAATTGTTAGGTAACCACTTTGGACATCTTCCATTTTCTTTGTACACGTCAGCAAGTAGTCCAAACGAAAGGGACTTATCAACTATAAAATAAGACGATACTACTATTGTAGCATTATATTGAGATAATAGCCAAAAAAGAAAACTCAATTACGAATTGACTAAGAAGTAAGAGCCATCGCTAATTTTTGTTTTAATAAGAGATATGTCACTATCTATAAGATAACCATCCAACGAATCTTTTCTTGTAGTCTAATCTCCAACGAATCTTCAGTTGAACAAGAAATTGATGTTGTATTACCGCACCGATGAGGCATAATGCAATTGGTTTATGTAGGCTGTATGGTTGGTAATAATTTAACATCACTAGGAGTAAGTGGCGTTATTCAACTCCATTTAGTTTCTTCAACACACTCCCTATATAGAGCTTTAAGCAAATTAATAACATTATAAGGATAAAACTAACAAGAAAAGCCTCCTAGGAAAAATAATATTGTGCGGAGCTGAAAGTTAGTTGTGACGTTTTATTAATAAAAATTAATGCCCAACTGGTTTTACATTCTTTGTGTATAAGAATGTCTCGAACATCAATAATAAATGAATAACAGTCTTCGAAAGGTTAGTACCAACCTACAGAAGATGACAAACACATTTATATCTTCTTGTTTACTAATTACAAGTAGAGTGTCTTAATTTCATTTCCATTTTTATATATTTGTATGTTAATAAAAGACAAAAAAGAAGAAAAATCGTTGGTTGATTGTTTTGCCCTAACGAGAAAAACACGTCCAAGCGACAAAAGCATTGTAATCACATTCACACGAAACGCGCATCGGATAAAGCCGCGTAAAATTTGGTGAGACGCATGGATCACACCTGAACGCAAGACGCGCGTTCCCCAAACACTAATTTCCTCTTGGCGTCTTGCGTACGCGCACAATATTGGGCTTTGACTGCTGGGCCCATTTATTGACTAAAGCAACACTTGTAGGGCTATCAACACTTGCTAATGACATGTTTTCATTATAAATAATAAAAATCTCGGTTCATTGATTCAAAATATATTACAGAATTATCAATATATTACTGTATAACCTCTTTAAATTAATATTTTATAAATTAATATATATTAATTTTTTTATAAAATAATATAATTTTATAATTTTAAATTCAATATTTAATTTATTTAATATATCGATAAATTAATAATTTCTATAAATTAATAAAAATTATAATGTTGGCATAATCTCAATTATAGTGTTGGCATAATCTCAATAAATTAATTTCTATAAATTAATTTTTATCAAAGTTCAGAGTATTTTATCAAGTTCAGAGTATTTTATCAAGTTCAGAATAATCTAATTTTAGAATATTTTGTCTCCCTTTAAGATCACCATAAATAAATAAAATTCAAATGTATCTATCTACTCTAAGATTTTTTTAAAAATTATTTTAAAGAAAAGCATAATTAGAAGATAAGAGAGACTTAACACATGTATATACTACTTTCATAATTTCCAAAGCGTTATCTCAATTAAATTTCGTGATTAGTAATGATTACCTAACTAATTTTCATAACTATCTTCACATTATTATCGTTTTAATTTAAAAAAACTTATAAAACCGGTATATAAATAACACGGAAGAAGAGATGCACACAAACTCAATCACTTTATGTCCGAAAATCCCGAAGACTTTTATTTATTACGGATCTCAAACATTCACTAACCAAACAAAACACAAAAGTAACAACAACAAACAACCTCTCTCTCCAACCACCACCACCGTCACCGTCATCAAAAATGGGGAAAGGAGGCACACTCAGCGACACCGTAATAAAAAAAATCATCCTCTCATACAGCTACGTAGCGATATGGATCTTCCTAAGCTTCACAGTCATCGTCTACAACAAATACATCCTCGACAAGAAGATGTACAACTGGCCTTTCCCGATCTCACTCACCATGATCCACATGTCCTTCTGCTCAACCCTCGCTTTCCTCCTCATCAAAGTCTTTAAATTCGTCGAGCCTGTGTCCATGTCTCGCGACACTTACCTCAGATCCGTTGTCCCTATAGGAGCTTTGTACTCTCTCTCCCTCTGGTTATCAAACTCCGCTTACATCTACCTCTCTGTCTCCTTCATACAGATGCTCAAAGCTCTCATGCCTGTGGCGGTTTATTCCATCGGTGTCTTGTTGAAGAAGGAAGGGTTTAAATCGGATACTATGGTTAATATGTTGTCTATCTCGTTCGGTGTAGCGATTGCTGCTTATGGTGAAGCGAGGTTTGATGTGTTTGGTGTGATTCTTCAGCTTGGTGCTGTTGCTTTTGAAGCTACACGTTTGGTTTTGATTCAGATCTTGCTTACATCTAAAGGCATCACGCTTAATCCCATCACGTCTTTGTATTACGTTGCTCCTTGTTGTTTAGCGTTTTTGTTTTTCCCTTGGATCTACGTTGAGTTTCCTGTGCTTAGAGACACGTCTAGCTTCCACTTTGATTACGCTATCTTTGGGACGAACTCGTTGTGTGCGTTTGCGTTGAATCTTGCTGTGTTTCTTCTTGTTGGGAAGACTTCTGCTTTGACGATGAATGTTGCTGGTGTGGTTAAAGATTGGTTATTGATTGCTTTCTCGTGGTCTGTGATTAAGGATACTGTGACTCCTATTAATCTTTTTGGGTATGGGATTGCGTTTTTGGGAGTTGCGTATTATAATCATGCCAAGTTGCAGGCGTTGAAGGCTAATGAGGCTCAGAAGAAGGTTCAGCAAGGGGATGAGGAGAGTGGGAGGTTGTTGGAAGAGAAGGAAGGTGGTGGTGGTGAAGGTAAGAAGATTGAGTCTGAGAACTAAGTGAAAAAGAGAGACTTTACTCATAAGATATAATAAGAGCATGGAAGTGAAGTATGCTTCTTGTGGAACTCTATTAGGTGGCTTTTGATCATAATGATTTGCTCATAGGTAGTCATGTCTTCTTGTTTTTTTTTTCTAGCTATTTTCTCTTTTGGTATTGTTTTCTTTCAAGCTATTTTATGATTACAAGGGTGTTACAAAAACCTCTGTTCATGGATTTTCCTTATCTCTTATTAAATTATTGAAAAGTTTCAGTATATATATGTTGATGGTTGACTTTTTTGTGAATCTCTAGTTAACATTTAGTGGTGGTTTTATTTTGTTTTGAATGCTTAAAGCAGTAGGCTTGAGTAACATGTGGATGGTTGTTTTGATTGCTCAAAGCAGTATGCATAACTTAAGTGTAAAGGAGGACCAAGATAGACAAGAATAGGCTTAGACCAGCTTTGTGTGTTGATGCAACTCATCATGTCTATATCCACTTATGTTAGTTAGCATGTTAAACCTGAAGTTTTGATTCATATGATGCTTTTAAAGTATTAGATTAAAAGAGAGTTAATCCAATTCATATTCTATACCAAAAAAGTAAGGTTGAAGCCAGACATCAGTTACTATACAAACGTGCAAGATCGATGATCAACACTAAAACTTGTATCTATCTAAATTTTACAACTATAGATTCACGTAAGTCCACGCAGCTCACAAGACTAACTCGTATCTCGTAAGACTCCATGGAAAACATAAGCAAGAGAAGTGCAAGAGCATTCATTATCCATTGTTGGTGTTGGTCTTCTTCAGCTCCTCGTTCTCCGCACGCAACGCATCAATCTTACCCTGAAGAAAGTTTACCATCACTTCTGCACTCATCAGGTCGAGCTGATACGTCTCTCTCTCCACACCCATCTGCTGTTTCTCTTTCTCAAGATGGTTGATCAGCTCGGTTGAGGAGCTTGTAGGCACCATTGTAGCAACTAGTGGTTCTCGTTTTTTATCCTCCATAGTGTCTTTAACAGGAGATATAGTGTCGCCAGTTTTTGATGGGAAGGAAGAATTGTCATGAGTGGCCTGGCTTGAGTTGTTGTGGCGTCCAAAAGAGTGGATTTGGCGGTTGCGTTTGTATTGGATGAGAGGAAGTTGAAGACATTCTCTCGCCAATGGCTCATCATTATTATCTTCATCTATTTCCTACACAACATTAACAGTTACATAAGAACTCAATGAACTGAAACAAACGTTGATCTGATCAAAGTGCATATACAGAAACTGAAATGTTTCGCCAGATCACAGTAAAGATGACAATCTCTCTATCATTGGGACTCAACTAAACAGAGGAACAAGACATGGAACATAGAGTTTGCATAGTTCTCACTAGTGCAAAGAAAAAGGTCAAAACAGAAGCACAAAACCTGCTGAATCTTCTCATTGATTCCATCATCATCATCATCATCATCATCATCATCATCCCAGTCTTGTTCGCAGAAGGGTGCATATATGCATCCAGTAGTTGGCCCGGCGTGTTCCTTGCGAAACACTTTACACAACACATACGAATCTATCTGCATCCATAAGTACAAGTCACAGTTTAATCCAGAATCAAATGCACAGCTATACTAACATCCACTATCAAGAACAGCTGTGTGTGTATCAAGAAATCCAAAAGAATACTACAGAGAGAATATACACACCTCACGTTTATTTACAACGAGGTGATACTCATGGATCACCCAGTTAGTTCTGTTACCCTTAGGAGCACGTCCTGTGTAAAACACAAGGGTCTTTACCACACCAATCAAATTATTCTTTCCTCTCTTGATTTCCTTGTCTACTCCCGTTTTCTTCCAGTAGCCTTTCTTCGTTGCTCGGTTTATAACAGTAGGGCTGTTGTGCTTCTTCTCCAAGGCACAGAAAAAGAACCATTCTTGGTCTTTTGTCTTCACCCTAGAATGCTCTGATACCAAGAAACATAATAACATAAGAGGGTGAACCTAGAGAGAGAGAGAGAGGTAAAGAAGAGAAAAAAGAAAGAACCTGCTAACGCAGAGGGCTCGTGATTGTAAACATTGACTTCCCCAATCGCATCGAAACGCATCTGTGTGCCCTGAAACTTCCTCTTCAAGTAATAGCTAATTATTTCTTCATCTGTTGGATGAAATCTGAAGCCAGGAGCTAACGGTTTCACCGCCGAAGCATCATTACCAGTCTCTGGCGCCGGCAAAACAGGTTCAGTCATGAAAGTAGTAGGCGACACACTAACGAAGAACGGTTCTCTTCTTCTACTACCTACCTACCTTTCGTCTCCCTTCGCAATATCTATCGCTAAAACTTGTGAACAGAGAACGTTCTGAGAGAATGATTTAGATTTTTAAAGGAGAAGGAAAAATGAAAAGGTCAAGAAAAGGGTAGCTTGTAGCGCAAGAAATTATTTATTTCGCGGACTTGGACCTGAAAATCATATTTTAATCCTAAGCCTTAAGGCCCATATTGTTGGGCTTTATTTGTAACAAATAATAATGACTAAGCCCAATTATTATTTGAAAACATGGATTCTGCAGGCTTTACAAAAGGCCCGTTAGTGACCTCACCTTCCATCTGCATCTTTCCTTCAAAAAAGTTATTACAACAGCTAACTTGTCCGCCGCTTCGACAACAGAAAAAAAGAAGGAAAAACCTCTGAAAAACCCTAATCTCCTCTCTCTCTCTCTCTTCTCCTCCGCCTGCATATTCACTCCTGGAGAACAGGTATAGTTACTTGTTTCTTTTCTTTTTGTTAATCTCTAAGCTGAATTAGATGGTTTTGGAAATTTTCTCACCAAGCTTCAAAGGAAGTTGATTTACTGGTTGAAAGTTTTGTCTTTTCGTTGTGGGTTGATTAGAAAGTAACCAAAAGTCCCATTCTTTTTAATGATTACTAGTGTTGAAGTCGAGATACTTTTCCCCAGTTTGTGTATGTGATTGATTGTATACTTTAAACAGTTACAGGGAAAGATGAATTTGGTGAACATTAAAGACGTATTGACTTCATTCAGTCCTGCTTTAGATTATCTCGCTCTTAGCTCCGGTGATGGCCGTATCAAGGTACCCTTCAGCGTTTTTCCCTTATGGTTTATTTGCCTCATAGTTATCTATTCAAAGAGAAGATATTTCTACTGTTTTTATTGATTGGTTTTATTTCGACTTTGTATAGATTTGGGATACTGTCAAGGGTCAGGTCCAAACAGAGTTTGCTGATATTGCATCTGCAGAAGAGACTAACATATATACCAGCGGTGGTAAAGGTCATCTCTCGGTTGATTATACCTGCATGAAATGGTTGTCTTTGGAGAGAAAGGTAAATAGACTTTTGCTTTTATTTCAGTATTCCCTTGCGGTGTAGATCATAGTTTTGTGAATCTGTTGTTTCTGTTGGGGAGTAAGCTTAATTCTTGTTGTTTGCAGAAGAAGAGAAAACTTGGAACTTCCATAATAGTATTAGGAACTGGTGGGGGAGATGTTTTAGCACTTGATGTGGCTTCTGGTCAGCTTAAATGGAGAATCAGTGACTGTCATCCCGGGTGAGTAACTCTCCCTTGACTCCTTCTTTGCTATAAATTTTACCTTTTGAAGCTTCTTGAATTTGGAATCAGTAGCAGATTTTGGACGTTTATTAATATATACTATGTTTTGTGCAGTGGTGTGAATGCTGTTTCATCGTCTACAAAGGCCTCTTGCATATACAGTGGTGGAGCAGATGGGATGGTTTGTGAAATTGATCCCCATAGTGGAAATCTGATCAGGAAGTTTAAAGCTTCCACCAAAGCAGTTTCTTCTTTATCTGTTTCACCAGGTGTGTCTCTTAGCGAGATAGCGCTTCCTTTGTTTTCTTCAAATATATTTTTACTTGTCTTAAAAAGACACTTTGAAGCTTCTGTTAAAATGCATAGACTACAACATGTACTCACCTACTGCTGATGTGTTGTTTCCTCCTAATTGTAGATGGAAAAATATTAGCCACTGCATCTGCTCAGTTGAAGACTTTTAAGTGCTCTGATCTCAAGAAAATTCAGAAGTTTACTGGTCACCCTGTGAGTATCATGTGTTATTGTTAGGAGGATAACTCTATTTAAAAAAATTGAAGGTGGTTAATAGTTTATAATTCTATATAGGGAGGTGTGCGTTGTGTGGCTTTTACCGAGGATGGCAAATACGTTCTTTCATCTGCAGTTGGTGAAAGATATATTGCAGTATGGAAAACAGATGGTGCCAAGAAGCAGTCAGCTAGCTGTGTCCTTGCCTTAGAGCACCCTCCCGTCTTCGTGGATAGTTGGGGTGAAACTGATAAAAACGGGTTATATGTTTTAGCAATTTCGGAAGTCGGTGTCTGTTATTTTTGGTATGGATCCAATGTTGAGGAGCTATGCAGTGCCAAACCTACAAAAGTGGCATTAGCAACTGAAGATTCTTCGCTTAAACAGAACAAGGGCTCATTGCCTACAATCTTTGCTGCTAAATTGCAAGGCATTTTGAAGCCTGGTTCTGCAAATGCATTTATAGCTTCTGGGTTGCTGGTGAAACCATCATTCCAGAAAATGGTGTTGCAGTTTGGCAATGACTTGGTGCTGAATGCCTCTAAAAATGGCATCCTTCTTCCCATCACTCAGTCAGCTTCCAAGTCCAAGAAGGGGCAAGGCGTGCAAAGTAAAGGTATCTTCAATGGGGTTTACCCTTTACTATATCATGAAAATTCCTTCAGCAAATTGATTAGATTATCTCTCATTTCCTGATTAGTGTCAGCTGCTTAACAATAACGGCATCATGTTAAAGTAGAATCGATACATTTCCTAATTATGTCAAGCTGATTTTTGACGTTGATGGAGCTTATCTTTGTCCTAGATACTACCTTGTGGATTACTATCAGTAACAGTTGCTGACAATGATATTATATTTGTATAGTTACAACATTGGACCGCGCCCACGCGGAGGATGCTTTGTTGCCAATCGCAAGAGTTGCTGATCTGCACGAGAAAAAGAGGGTACAGCCACACTCATCTGAGAAGGATACAGACATGGTTGACCAAAGTCAAGCGGGTGAGTCTTACATCACGGTTCTGAAATCGACTATCAGACTTCTTACTTACACAATCATGGTCTACTGATGGAGATCGTTTGATTGTTTGGCTCTTTTAGTATATATATATGCAGTTGTTTCAGTGCAAGAAGTGCTCTGGCCTTTTTTTAACTCATTCTTTTTAAATTTGAAATTTACAGATTATGTAGAAACATTTAGCATGGAGGATAAGTTGAGATCAATAGGGATACTTAAAGGTACAGATGAACCAAGCAGCCTTTCTTATACTTCAGTGATTGATGGAATTGATCTTGAGGCTCATCTACCACCAAAGAAGGTATGTTTGCTTTCTAGTTCATCTATTCTTTGCCATTTGTAAATCCTTCTGACGCATTTCTTTATAGATTTTTTCGGATAGTTATTTTTTTCAATCTACCAATCATAATACTCATAGAGTTTTGTATTGGCAGTTGAAGTCTGCTGTTTTGTCAATGGCACCCTCTACTGCATTCAAGAATTTAGAAGCTCTGGTTGCTATGTGGCAGACAAGGTTGGTCTATGCTTTATTTGTTTCCTATCACAAGTCTCTCATTTACTAATTGTCTGTTCTTAACACAGTTGCAATTTCTTTTTTAACAGGGGATGTGGTGGGAGGTATATGCTTCCATGGATATACAGCATAATGGTGAATCATAGACATTACATCATGTCCCAAGAACCAAAAAACCAACAGCTGCTTAATACATTGCAAAAGGTAAGAGATGAGAGTATTAGTCAAGTAATTTTTGTTTGTTCTGTCAAAACATGCTTGATTTAATGTACGTTATACTGTTCATCCAGATAACCAAGTCCAGAGGAGCGGCTCTTCAACAGTTACTACAGTTATCTGGGCGCTTAAAGCTTGTTACAGCTCAGGTTACATACCAATCATCTTCTTAATTAATTTATCGATCCATTTATTAGCATATATACGGCTACTTAGTCTCAATAAATCGTTTCTTTTGATGGCAGATCAATAAAGCTGCAGGGAAAGAAACTCAAACAACAGTTCATGAGCAAGAGAGTGATGAAAGTGAAGATGAGGAAGATGATGTAGAAGAACATTTCTATGGTGAGAAGGATAATGATTCCGAATTAAGCAGCGACGATGGAAAGGATGAAGGTAAATAGTGACTTTGGTTTCTTTTTCTTTTTCGCATATTGGTTTGTGGGAGTAAAGTACGTTTTAATCTAAATATTGCCTTTGGTTTTACTTTCAGATGATACCTTAATGGAAGAGATGTAAGCTAATAGTGAGTGAAGAGAAAGAGAAGTAAGCTTTGACTCTTCTTCTCACGATTTTGTCTTTTTGAATTTGAACTTTTTAAGCAAATGATTCACATTTCTATTCAGAGCATTCATCAATTTGTCAAAAAACTTATGTAGTCAAGAGTTAAAAGAAGGTATTGTATTACTATTACCTTTGTAATGCGTTCAGGTTTTGGGAACTGCATGTTCTTCTCTTCACAAGAACATACCACATAGCTTTCGTTTCGAAGATCATCTCACGACTTGAAAGGAGATAATCATCTTTTGAAGTAGAATTCGAAAGAGATATCAGTAAAATTATATAATATCCAAATTATAAAAATTCTAGACGTACTAACACGCAACCTTCTATATAGTTGTCATACCAATAAAGGTGACACTTGGTCTTACAATTTTGAGCGCAAAACCTGGCGCCTACGAAGAATATCTCTTGCTAATACTCTTAGCAAAGTATGCAAACGAATATGTTCCGAGTCGATAACTATGAGAGATCTATCAGCCAAGAGTTGAAGCCGGTGGTTCACGTCTAAGAACTTATTTGCGAGAAGGTTATGGTTTAGGCATGCTATGTCAAGAAATAAATCTTGATCTTTTTTATCTTGAGCATCATAACTGAACCTCAAAGTGCTTTCAATATCAGTGTCAAGCACAGTCCTGAAGCGTGGAAGTAGCTCTATCCACTGGCACTTGGTCATTCCCCGCAAGTAGGAGCCCAAAACACGTAGGCCCAAAGGGAGTCTACTAGCAAGTGTTATGACTTCCCGAGACAGACTCCCATAACCTTCTTTAGGGAACTTTTGACCAAAAGCATACATGCAAAAGAGTTGAAGAGCCTCAAAATCATTTGGTAAAATACCCACCATGGAGTTATGGCTAATCCTAGTCATGGGCATATAAACCGGATCCGGAAAACCTGACCCGACCCGAAACCCCGGTTCGGTTCGACTTTGGTGTGTTGTAAAGATAGTTCGAGTACTCCAAGGACGATTAAACCAACAAGGTCTTGTATATTTTGCTTTGACTTTCTCCATAAAGTCACTCAGCTGAGAGCTGTCGGGGAGTCTGTTGTATGCACTTCCAGCAATTGAGCAGAGCCCTAACAATGGTTCCAATTTTACCAAATATGTTCTCATCCCAACTAACCCATCGAAATAACATGACAATGTGGAATTCTTCAACTTGTCTGAAATATCTTTGGCCATTTGCTTGATCATGGTCGCTTCATTATCCCTAACATTGAGTAGGGGGGAGATCAATAGATCCATTAAACACATATTCTAGAAATTATGAAATTCTTGGATGAAAATTGTATAAGAGCTGACACAAGGGGTGATTGGTTGGATTTTAACTAGTGAGTTTAACTTTATTTTCTATCTACAATCATATATATCATCAATTATGTTTTAAGTAGTTTTTAAATCTAAAGTCAAAAAAAAAAATATATATATATTAACTTTAAAGCTACATTAAATACAGTTACATCCAAAAATTCTACAGACTAAATTCTATAGTAAAATTTCTACCGTTACAATCCAATCAATAGCCCCTATTAAAAAAAAAAGAAGAAGCTATGTATAGAGTAAAAAGCAAGTGGGAGGACTAACCAGTTGGTTGAATGATAACCAGCGATAGTGGCCACTTCTGCCAAAGCGTGTTTCCATCTCTTAATATTCTCTTCTGTTTTACCGCCACAAGTTTCTCTAAAGACTTTCCCAAAGTCACCGGCAAGCTTTTTAACATCAGATGGATCCACTTCGTAGAAAATAGGGATCACAGTTTGACCCTGTGTTTCTCTGCATTTCATAATCTCCACTAGTTCGTCAAGACACCATTTTGAAGACGCATAGCTTCTAGAGAGCAAGATGATTGCGATCTTAGACGCTCTAATAGCCAGAAGAAGCTCAGGACCGATGGGTTCTCCTCTTGTAATATTATTATCAATGAATAGATTGATTCCCTTTCTTTGGAACTCAGTTTGAATGTGACTAAAAAAGTCTCTACGAACATCTTGCCCTCTGAAGCTTGGAAAGACATGGTAAGTCTGTGTGGGGCGAGACAAAGAAGATAGAGGCACTGATGAAAGAGATAATGAAGATGAAGAATTTTGTTCTCTGTTATCTTGATGGAATCTGAGTTTATCTAAAAGCACGAGGAAGACGCCGCCTATCACAACAGCAAAAATGCTAAGGAGAAAGGCTAAAGAATCCATAGAATGATAGAAACAAGATTGAATATCTCAAGACTTTTACAGAGAAATGTGTGGGGGGAAGAAACCACAAAAGAGGCGTCGTATAAATATACACTTAACAAAGTAGGGCTGGCTCCATCTTAGGATTTTCCATACACATATAAAATTGCATGAAGGCCAATGGCAAGAGAGGAAGCCTTCATTAGTGGATGTTTCCCTAGAAAAATGGAATCCAAGAAAAAAACTAATTAAAGGATGAGATTTTCTACGAATTGTTATTGTAGGACCAGTTATGGCCCTTCAGGCAACTTTAGACGCGCTATTAAGTGTACGATGTTTCCATGTAATTGCTTGTGGAAAATCTAATTTTAAAGGAAGCAGCAACGAAAAGATACAAGCAATTACTTGAATTCATACTTATATTGAGTAAAGAAGTGACAGTGGAAGAAATATACTTACATAGCCCTGTCCGTGATGATAAGCAAGCTTCTAGCTGAATAGTCATTTATAAAAGGAGTAATTTGGATGAAGAAAATCTAAAAAGGTTATATCTAAAAAGACTATGCAGTTATAGAGTGTTAAAATGAGCTACTTTGCTCCACATAGATCAACTCACCACAATCTTAGAGCATGTTTATCCAAGGGTGCTTAGAGAAGTGCTTAGGAGGAGGGAGGTGCTTAATATGAAGAGAGAGAGTGTGAAAAGTGCTTAAGCAAGCACTTTTCACACTCTCTCTCTTCATATTAAGCACCTCCCTCCTCCTAAGCACTTCTCTAAGCACCCTTGGATAAACATGCTCTTAGGACTCAGCTCAATTTTTATTATTATATGAATAAGCGACCTTGTATATCATTCAACAAATTAACTTTTTAATTAAGCAACTTTATCAGGCAAACAAAAGAAAAGCAAAGTAAGAAAATGAAAATCTATAGACTACTACAAGAACTTTGATAAAAAAAAAGAAAGAAAAAGGAATACTACTACTACAAGAGAACTCACAAGTCACATACCATGCAATGTAAATATTTATTAGTACAGGTTCTTTGTAAAGTTTATCAACATAAATAGCAAAGGAGGGTTAAAGGCTTGCATCAGCATTAGAACCACCGCCTCCTCTTTTGTTTCCTGTTGTGTTCTTCAGGATCTGCATTGCACCAAACACAACCCAAAACTTGATTAAAAAAAAAACACATCAAAAGAAACATTATTACCATAAAACTACAAAGAACCTAACTTCGCATTCTCATCTTATCCACCACTTAAACAGGAAAACCAGAGACATAACAAGAGCCATTGAAGAATCGACATACATTTGTTTGTGAATTATTCTCAAACTCTATACTACCTCCTTAATTTAGTAATCTATTTGATGAATGGTTCATAAATCTAGCAACTTCATGATATTCGAGCAATGTGATATTTTAAAACAAATATGTTTTAGTCATTGACATTGCAGATGCGTGGGATAGATTAAAAAAAAAACGTACTTGTCGAAGCATCTGGTTCTCGTTCTGCAAAGTAGAGAGTCTCTCTTCAAGTTCAGAGTTTCTATTCTCCAAGTCTTTCACTCTGTTTTCCAACTCACCCAAGTAAGCCTTCTTCCTTTCTCTTGCTTGTTGTGCTGAAACTCTGTTCCTCAACAACCTTTTTTTTTACACACAATTTACCAAACAACCCCCATCACGCTACCAATCTTTATTTACCATCTAAACGGTAACGGTAAAAAATGTAAAAACTAGGCACCTCTTAAGCCGCTTGGTCTCTTTCTCAGCCGGAGTCCTCCCTCGCTTTCTTTGACCCTCTCCTCCGACCGTTATCTGTGTCTGGTCCTGACCGGTCACCGATCCAGAGATCTCTTTTCCGGCACCTTCTCCTCCAAACTCTGGAACTCTCCGTATCTCCTCATCACTTTCAACTCCTGATGGAAAAAAAAAGGAGACACTTTGATTAAAATTACGGATTTTTCGAGGCAGACTAAAAGATCTGCTAACCCAATCGATAAAACCAATGATAAAAACTGACTTAATATTAAATGCATGATGCTAAAAAATCGACAAGATCAAAGCGTTGGAGAAGTAAAAAATTGATAATATTTTTTTTTAACCTTCTTTGATCTCTAAATGAGGAGCAGAGCTTGAGGATCTCTCGCTGCTTGATGGTAAAGAGCTTGTCGTTTGCTCCTGCATTTTTTTTTCTTAACTTTATGAATCTCCTTTGAAGATAGATTTACACAAGTTGGTGATGAAGATAGAGAAGGAAAAGAGCGGGACTTGGGATTTTACAGAACTGGCAAGAAATCTAGTTGCGAGTTTTGTCGGGAAGGAATAGATTACAGTCCTCACAGCCGTCGGATCCAAGGAGAATCTGACGGATATAGAGAGTGAATCGTGGACGAATATAAGCCTTGAGGAAATGCAAGGATCCAAAGGCATAAGAGATGGGAACGTGGGGAGATAATAGCCGTTGATCTTTTTTAGCATCTAACGGTGATTAATGGAAAGCGCATAAAAGAGTGGGCCCATGTGTCTGTCCTTTGACAGAGAGTGTAGCCATACTTCTTTCATTTCGCCACGTGGCCCACGACTATGACAATGTTTTCGTGATATGAAATTAATTTTTGTGCTTCATGAACCGAATTTTCTCAACCAAATTGTATTGAATATTTTTGTAACCGATTGATATATTTTTTTTTTGTTTTTTCTGTGAATTAAATAAAAATAAATATTAATCCACTCTATTTCAAATAACATTTATTTAATTTGAAAAAGGAAACAAACCAAACCGAACCGGAAGCTCAATAACATCAAATTAAACCGGAGCTTGATAAGGAGCACGCTTCTCTGGAACTCCATCTTCTGCTCTTCTATCTTCAAACCACTTCAAAACCCGCCTCCTTGGTAGATTGGTCACTTGAACAATGCTGCTAACCACAGCATTCTAATGTACACCATCCATATAAAAACTATGTGAGATGAAACATTCAACTAACGAAGAATTTATCTGGAAGTATAAGGAAAAAGATTCTTACAGTGGGACGTTTTGATCTTCTGTACACTTTTTCTAGTGTCTCAATGTGAGCTTTCTTCACTCTCTTCTGAGCAGACCATCTCTGTTGCATCACATGGACTGCTTCTTCTTTTACTTTCCCCTCAGGCTCAACCTCTACAGCATCTTCTTCAGCTGATGATGGTTCCAGAGGATTTGGATCAGGTGGTGATGAGTTTTCAGGTGCTGGTACAGGCGGTTTCTCATCTGGCAATGTAGCACTCAGCATTAGCAGCTTTGGAGGCGGGTCACGTAGCAGTTCAAGAACATAAGCCCTGTCAAGACACAGCTCAGCTGCCAGATTCTTTATCTGCAGAACCAAAGCATAATAGTTCAAGAATAAGCATGATTCCAACAACACTTGAGTTTGCTAAGCAAAGGAACTTACACTAGTCTTACGTTTCCCAGCTTTCAACGCATAAGCCAATCTCCTAAGCTGCCAATTCTTGAGCTTCGCCGGTCTTTCATCTTCTTCTTCATCATCATCATCTTCCTCGATATCACCATCATCATTCCCATCATCCTCTTCATCATCAACAACATCACTAGTTTCCGAACCAAACAAGTCAATGCCATCAACATCGTCACCACCACCCAAAACTTCAGCTAACTCTGCTGCTAGTCTATCTAAGTCTTCTTCACTTATCTCCTCATCATCTAAAGAAGATTTATCATTGTTCAAATCTTCTTCAAGTAGATTAAACAGTGCCTCAAATGGATCATCCTCCTCCTGCTCCTCACCTCCCCCAAAACCCTTCTGCTAAAACATCAAAAGGTTGAAACTTTGAATCAACTTAACTGCTAAAGTTCTCACCTTTACTACAAGGGAGTTGTGTGATTTTTCTTACCTTTTTGTTCTTCTTTGGAGACGAAGAAGAAGAAGAGGTGAATCCCTTTCGGTTCTTCCCACGAGCACACACAAGTACAGAGCGAGAAGGACGATGAGCTGGAAGAGACAGAAGACTAGGACTAGCGTTCTGGTTACGAAAGAGAAATCTATTGGACGACGAAGATAACGCCGGAGAAGAAAAGGCGACGCCGGGAGAAGATAAGGAAGTCACCATAGCTTTTATCACCAAACTGTTTGCTGTTTTCAGCTAAAGGAAGTAAGCAGCTTTTATATGAATCCAAACGACGACGTTTCTCTCTTAAAGATAAAAAAACATAGTCCTGCTGTTTGGTGCTTACAGAATAGCAACGCGTGCCGTTTCAAAAGTCGTTTTGTTTTTATGCTTCGTCGTTATCCTCTGGTTTTCAACGGGTCCACTCTGTCTCTCTCTCCCTCTCTACGATAGAAACTCTCTCTCTATCTCTCTCTAGATTGTTTTCCTTCGGTGCCTTGATAATGGCGAATCCAGCGAAATCAAAGGGATGGATTAAGAACTTATCTTCAATAGCAACATGGGTTTACTTCCTCTTGATCATCCTCCAGATCCCTCTCTTCAGGTAAAATTCATTTCACTTTCCAAAGTTTCCGAATTTTTATCTAATTCCTCGTGCCACGTATTATTACCTTCTGTGATCTCTAGATTAAGAAACCGTAAGTTAGTTTTTACTGCTTAATCGACTTGAATCAAGAGTAAAATTAAAAGAATTTAACTTGATCAGGTAGATTTAGAACTCTTTGATTATTACTTGGTTTGAATCTGATTTGGATCACAATGTGAAAATCAGGATTCCATGTAGATCTGGAATGTGTATGTCACCGATCCACGTGACATCGTCTCAGTTGATTTCTAGTGACATCTTTCCTGTTCCAATGATCAAGGCTCTCTTATACCCTGGTGCTATTGTCCACGGTCTCGCCACGGACATGACGTTTCCAAAGTGGGAGAATGTTTTAGATATTTACAATCTCACCAATGTTAAAGATGCATCTGCAGTTCCTGATCTTCAACGCCTAGAGGTTCGGTTCGGTTCATTCTATTAACATTCTATCATTTGTTTTGCCTTTGTGTAACTAAGAGAGAGAGTTATTGTTGGGGCAGGTTCTTGCAGGGAGTTATTTTTGTGTAGCTGGGGCCTTTATAGGTTTGCTGAAGCCTGGTAGGATGGGCATGTTTGGGTCGTTGCTGCTAGTTTGGGGTCTTGTCAAAGAAGGGATTTTGAAGAAGCCAGCGAATACTGACCCGACTAAAACCGTTTATGTCTACCCAACCATGGTGATTGCGATGATCTGCGCTTTCTCTATGATTAAGTATGACTTGAAGAAAGCCACGAGAGCTGCTCCTGCTCGTCCCATTGCTAAACCTCTCATGAGCTCTTCAAAGTCTAAGCTCAAGTGAGTTTTTTTGAGACTTGTAGGGGTTGTGTTTTGTCTTTGTTGCCAATGCTGGAAAAGAAAATTGCATTGTCGTTTGTGTTATATTCTCTCAGTTACCTTGTGTGTTTCGTCATTTTCTGGAACTCATCTCAGCTGTCAGTCTCTTTCAAAATCAAACACATAATCACAAAATTTTCAGTAGTATTGTATCATGTCATCAGAGAAGATTCCAGTAGATGATTATGATATTACTTGCAGTTTCATAATTTATTACTGCTATCCAATGATTTTGCTCTTCTCTAGTTTTTGGTGTTCCAACTTATAAACTGTTACTTTTGCGGAATGAATCCTTGATATATATGCACCTATATAACTTCTGGTTACAGAACCGAGAAGCCTATAAGAGTCGTCTAAAAATATTCAGACCACTCAGTAAAGTACCCACTAGTGGTATAATGGTATTCCTTTTTTGGTCAACGTCTAAAGAGTATGTGTGATAGGCAGTCACGAATTGGCGTTGACATTTTTTATTCCAAACCATTATTCTTTATCTTTCTCCAAGAGTGCAAGAAAGAAGTTGTCTCTCACCTTTATCCGAATCAGGCTATTACGGAGCTTCCAGGTGATCCCCTTGTAGATTCCATCAATGAGAACTTGGAAGCTTTGTCTTCTCTTTCATTCGACTGTTGTATCTACAAGGTACCTGATAGGCTGCGAAGATTGAACCCTGATGCGTATTCGCCTCGGGTTGTATCCATTGGGCCTTTACATCACGGTAAAGAAGAACTTCAAGCCATGGAAGATCATAAGCTGAGGTATCTGCAGAGTTTTATTCCTAGAACAGGCTTAACTTTGGAGGATCTGGTCAGAGTTGCAAGGACATGGGAAGAAAAGGCTCGTTCCTGTTACGCTGATGATATAAGACTTACTAGCAACCAATTTGTGAAGATGTTAGTCATTGATGCAAGCTTCCTAGTTGAACTTCTTTTAAGGTCTAATAGAGGTATGAGGGATAGGATATATGGGAAGCAAAGGATGATTATCGATGTGAACCACGACATTATGTTACTTGAAAATCAGCTTCCATATTTTACTGTGGAGGGGATGTTTGGATTGCTACATCGACATGGACTTGTCCCTCTTACTCGAATCATTCACAACCACTTCAAGTACTTCTGGATGAGCATCCCTTCATGTTCAAGAAGCATTTCTGATTCAGAGACCTGCCATTTTGTTGACCTTCTGAGATCTATTCACCTGCCTTCTGTTTTGAGTTTTCCAGGAGGAAGCATGAGGACGATGGATTCTACACTGAGTGCAAAAGAGATCCGTAATGCAGGCGTGAAGCTCAAGCCTGCTGACAACAACACCTGCTCACTCGACATAAGCTTTGCCAACGGAGTCCTCACAATTCCCAAAATCAAGATCAACGACATCACGGAAGCTCTCTACAGAAACATCATCGTGTTTGAGCAATGCCATCGTTTAGATGCTTACTTCATCCACTACATGAGGTTCCTCAGTTGCTTTGTAAGATCCCCCATGGATGCTGAATTGTTCATCGAGCAGGGGATCATCGTGAACAGACGTGGAAATGCAGAAGACGTTTCGAAGCTGTTCAATAGCATATTGAAGGAGACGAGTTACAGCGGATTTTACTATCAGGCAGTCTATGAGGATCTGCAGGCGTATTGCAACATGCCTTGGAACAAGTGGAAAGCAACTCTGAGACGTGATTATTTCCATAATCCTTGGTCTGCTGCTTCTGTTGTTGCTGCTATTGTTCTTCTCCTTCTTACTTTCATTCAGGCTCTATGCTCTATATTAGCCTTGTGACTTGTGCCCAAAGTGAGTGAAAATCAAATGTGTTGAGAAAGATCTATTTTGTTTCTCTAATATTCTCCTTGCTAACCACAACTCAGATCTAAACGTTCCCGTATGAGTATAGCATTGTGAAGTCTGAATAAAGAAACACAACAATCTAGCCACGAAACATGAACCATATATTATTATAACTTTTGTTTCTATTCGTTTTACAAGAGCTTTTAAGTACAGTATCTTGCAAGGTGATGAATGGATGTAGAAATGAGATTAACAAAATTCCATAATATATAATGGCCTAAAATCACTAGCGCCACACAATAGCTACAGAGAAACAGACAGACAAAACTATAGCAGAAACAAACACTAGGAAATCAATGGTCAAAGGAAGAGACCACTAAATCCAATGTCTGAAACTAGGAATTGATCGCCACCAGGATTTGTTATTGCTTTAGTTTCTGATGGTTTAAGCATAAGAAGGTAATGCTCAGTTTCACCCTGAGAAAAGTGATGTGACTCGTTTGGGAGATGTCATCTTCGCCACGCTCTTAAACTATTCAAAGTCATTCGAACCGGTTCAATCACCATTTTATTTCCTTCACCTTTATTCAACAATCCGTGACTTAACAGTGTTTTGTAGAGGAACGTACCTTTGGTTGGTTATATTTCTCACGGGTGGCAGTAAGGGTACATCCACTGGTGTTGAGCTGCAAATCCTCCATTGCGAGTACTGCGGTTTTCAGCTCGGCTACCTCATATCTTGTGTAATGCTCCAGAGTAGGATTCTGTAACCAATATCACTCTTTCATCAGCAAACACGAAAACCCTTTTCTCAAGTTTCAAGAAACAGGACTGACCCAAGGATGGTCAGTTTGGTCGAGTGTCCATCTGGCTAGGAAAACAGCTGAAGCAGCAACTAGTGATGGCAGGAACCTTAGGAAAGTATATTCCACGAGTGTCAGCTCGGCGAGATAGTTTGCTAAAAACTCCAGTTCAGTGAGAGGCACCTGCATAAATTATTTTAAATAAATGAACAAATTAGATTCCAAGTCTAGACAGTAGTGAGGATTGACAGCAAATGGATCATTGTTCAAAACCTTGTAAGAAGCTTGAGCTGCTCTAATGAACCGCCTGAAAAATATAGTGTTGAGGGAAGTCGAAAAATGAGTCATACAGTTTTCTTAACCATGTTGGGAAGATGTGGTGATGCAATATAGTTCTGCCAATTAGTGTTTACCTCAGAAAGGTTTTGGTTGTAGGAACCGATAATTTAAAGTGCACATAATTTAGAACTTGAATCTCCATGCTAATCACCTGAAACACAGTTTATAATTTGTTTATTTTTTTATCAATAATCTATACACAGCGAAGACACAGAGATATGTGTGATTTGAATGGTAATTACTTCTGGTCTCGAGTATGTATTGGCCGTAATGAAGCAAAACTCCTCCACCGGTGGTGCGCAAAGCTCTTCGTATTTTCTTTATGGGTAAAAAAAAAGAATACAAAGAGAAAGTATTAGTGTTTCTCTACTTAAAATCTACATTGACATGCACTAAAAACAAAAAAAAAAGTAGGGACTTACGAAGCTATAAGCATGCAAGTGACACCAAGGAGCTGGAGTCTATGCCTTTCAATGCAATTGTTGGATAGAAACCGATCAATAAGATTCACTGTAAGGTAAAGCGTATCCGGAACCAGCTTGTAGTCTTCGGAAACCTGGAAGAAGTACACGCAGAGAAGAATGTTGATCAAAATGCTTGAAATAATATCCTGCGATTGTGCTCAAAGTTATTAAGTAAGGCTAATGTTTAATACGAGACATGATAAGATGAAGCCTTTGTTTACAGATATATGTGCTAAGTTTGAAGGAAACTAACCTCTACAAGCCAGTCAATCAGAATCCTTCGCATGCCTGGGTCGATATCTCGCTGCACAACCTCCATATAATTAGCCAAGGGTCGTGGTTGAAGCTGCAGAAAAGAAGGTTATAACTCCGAAACTCCTTAAATTAATTGTGGAAAGATGTAAACACTGGTGATCTGTAACTACAAACCTCTGCAACATTTATGTTGTCATATATATCAGCCGCATACAAGCTGCAACACTGAGGATCTTTATCGTTGGAATCAATATCTACAACTTGACGAAAATCCATGACACCAGATCCGTCTTCTTCTGCACAAACCAATAAAAGACACATACCTTGAGTAAGTTTGAGAAATATACATCTTGGTATAGACTTCACTTGTTTCAGTTCTTACGTTGCTGCTCAGTAATTTCTTCATCTTTAGAGATAGATAGATGAGCATTTTGGGATTCCGCCATCCTGATCTTGGACAAATCTTCTGCTAATTTTGATTTTTCTGTATGCATATCATCCAGAATTTCCATGGCAACATCAGTACCTTCCTTTGCTACCTTTTTACACTGTTTTATACATTTTCTGGCAACCTGCAACATAATCTCGATAATATGAAGCTCAAAGAAGAAGTTTGTGAAGGCCATAACCAACAAAAGAAACATAAACCAACCAAGATAACTACCTTGATGTTTCCTTCTCCCAGGAGGTCAGAATATATATTTCCTGCAGAAGTATTACTCACATCCCGAAGTACTGAACGCTTCTTTTGCTGATAAACAAGTAAGTTTAGAGACTTTTCGTAACATATTCTGCAATTCATTCATAACATTCTATAAGAACATGTTTCGATACCTGTTTAAACGAAGGTTTTGTTGGAGGTATAGATACTCCTCCCAAGGCTTTTTTAGCTCGTGATCTCGTTACACGGCCAAAATTTCCCTGAACATTTGAAGTAGAGACGTTTTCTTTGTTTGCGTTTGGATGCATCGAATACGAGCAATCCATAATTTAGCCGAGCCTGCACATATCAAAGAGGTTATTATAGTCACTGTTTTAACCAGTGTTCAAATGCAGCATACAACTCAAGCATATAATTAATACTCACATTGTGCCACAGATCTCTCAATTTCACACGATTATGTTCAACTAATCATCAGAGAAACTAATTTTTCAAATCTAATCATCCAAAACAGAACGATTATCTCTAAAACAGGATTAGCCATTAGAGTACATGCACGTTTCAGAAAAATCCTAATTCATTAATGATCTCAACAAATTTCAGAAGCTAATACAAGCCGGAGACAACAAAGAAGAATCATCTCAACTCAATCCAAGGCAACATAAACGCATTCGCCGGAAAGATCGGCCCGTTTAAAGCCCAAACTACAATCGATTAAAACGAAAAAATAACAAACTACGGTTTCGGGGGAAAAAAAAAACTCAGAAAAAAAAATCGAGAAACAAAAACAAACAAAAGGTGTGGAGACGAGACGTGATGATGATGATGATACCTAAGCTCAGAATAATCTGATTATGATTTTCCCGGCGATCGCGGTCTAGAGAAGCTCACTGAAGATAGAGAACGCTCCAGAGAGAGAGAGAGGGTAAGCGATGAAAATGGGAGACAGTAGAGAGAGAATGTGTGTTATATATTATAGGTGTAGGTGGGGAAGAGCGGAGAGGAGCGGGGAAGAGACTCTGTGAATGGTACTGTTTCAAATTTCACTATTATCTCTCATCAAATACTACAAAATCCACTCTATTTTTTTCACCTATAAAATCATTATTATTATAAAATAAAATAAAAACTTTTTACTTCGAAAAAAGGCGATTTAATATAAAATGTATATGTTGCCTAAATAATATATAAAATGTATATTCTTTTGCTTTTTTGGGAAAGATATCTTTTTGACTTGGTAAAATATTGCCACATATTTTCTCTATAGCTTGGTCTTTGTTACTATACGTGGAATAGTGCAATCTGTATTTTATTTAATTTTCCTTTGAATATATATCTGCTGGATTATTTTTGTTTGTTTTCCCTAAAATGAATGGATGGATGGTGATAAGCCAATCGGCTGGAAATTCTCAGTTGAACAAACAAAAGATGATGCATGCACCTCGTATATTACAGATTGTAACTTTACATTTTTTATCATGAATTATGGAAATATACAATGCAGATTATGCTGACGCATGACACTAATGTGTTTACATGTATATATCTTTTTGGTCTAATTATCACTGTCAAATGCGCCGATTTATTATAACTGTGTGCTATATTGACTTTGTATTGTAGGCACTCCATGACTTACCTGAGCAAGTTAGAAATGTTGTCAATCTCACAATCATGTATCCGACCAATGAGCCAATTAATACTTCTTTCGTTTCGGTTTAGTTATCGTTGTAAAATAAAATTTTTGTTTAAAAATAAATGTTATTTTCTAATTTTGGTATAAAATTTTCTAACTTTATATGATGTCTTATTATTGATATAAATATAGTTAGACTTATAGATACTAATAATATTTATTTTAAAATATGTAAAATTAAATTATTTTAATCAATATACATAAATCTCAAACGGTAACTAAAATGAAACCAATGTCAAATAAATTCCAAATTTTAGTACCAACCTATTTTGGTCAATAATATCTATATATTATATCACTTTCAAATCTAACAACATTAAATTAAGTGTATTTATTTTTATCGTTTATAACTGAAAAATATATATTATCGAGGTTTGACACAGTTATGACACAATTCATCGTTAATATAAATACCGGTTACAAATTCTGCTCTAATATATATTTAAAGAAATGTTTATACTTAGTATATAAAATACTACCATTAACTAATATATTATTATTAGAAATAATTTATCAAATCCCGGTAATTATAATGATCTATGTATGGCTATATTTTGTCTTAAAATTAGTTTTTTTAATATTTGATATAAAATTTTAACAAAATATTATGGTAGCCCAACATTAATACTCCTTTCACTTCGATTAATACTTCTTTTGTTTCGGTTTAGCTATCGTTGTATAATAAGATTTTCGTTTAAAAGTAAATATTGTTTTCTAATTCTAGTACAAAATTTTCTAAATTTATATAATATTCTATTTTTATTGATATAAATATGGTTAAATTTAAAGATAGTAATATTTATTTACATATATGTAAAAAGAAAATTTAATCTATATGCACAAACCTAAAACGGTAACTAAAATAAAACCGATGTCAGATAAATTCCAAAATTTTAGTACCAACCTATTTTGGTCAATAATATATATATATATATATATATATATATATATATTATATCACTTTCGAATCCAACAACATTAAATTAAATGTCTATATTTTTATCGTTTATAACTGACAAATGTATATTATCGAGGTTTGACACAATTATGACACAATACATCGTTAATATAAATATCGGTTACAAATTATGCTCTATTATATATATATACTAGGGGTGGTCCGGCGCTACGCGCCGGAATTGGATGTTTGGTTCTTAAATTTCATTTTCTCGAATTTATGTTGCTGTGTAATATATATCTGAAGCTGGACAAATAGAAAATGTTTGTTGTGTGGTTTATGCTTAAGTTTATCGGTCTTAAGCCAAAGTCGTAAATGAAAGCATGGTATCTGTGGTAGAAGGAAGCTCTCTGAGATGAAGGTTTTAATATGAATTTTGGCTTTAACGATTTTTTTTTGTTTTAATATGATCATCATTTCTCGGATGTTGTACTGAAACCCATTACTCAATATTGTTCTAGAGTGTAAAAAGAATGTTTAGATATAGAATTTACAGTGTGGACTTCAGCTTCTTCATTCGCAAAGCTCTAGTTGCCAGTGTGTTAACTGGATCTCCAATAAAAAAAAAACACGCCTATAACCAAACATGTCTAAGGAGATAGCTGATTTGATTTTTGGCTTCAGAGCTTAAACTTGCCAACGTTAATGTTTTCAGCATGCTGAGGATTTATAGTCTGATCTTCAGTCTGGATGTCTTGATGTTGTGAAGCTGCAACCCGTCTGGCTCGGATCAACTGTATTCTGTGCTGGCGATCAAGCCTCCCATTAGTTACTAAAAATTATTGTGACATGGGAAAAATGAGAGTTGAACGAATATAGTTAGTTTGATACATAAGTTACGCGTATGAGGTCTTGTTACCCTTTTGAAGATCACGATTTGAAGTGCCCCTGAGAAAGTTGGTTGGTGCAAGGGGAAGATATTGCTCTTGCAACCAAGGCCGGCGTTGATCAGATACTGATGGAAACAGAGAGTATTGGTCAAGATTCAGATATACATGATAAAATACTAAACCATTTCGCTTCTTAACGCCTTACCTTTTTTATTTTTATGACTTTTTTTGGGTTCCAGATGATGACGAAGCTGTCGACACATTAACAGAACTATGACTTTTCTGGGAGCTCCCATCAGTTGCTTTCACTGGAACTTTGACTGGAGTCTTAACCATGTTTTCCAAAATCTATAAAGCAGAGATACCGACGCTACTGTATTAGATATGTGTGGTGAAGACTGCAGAGGAATGTTTGTAACGTTTTATGCTTGCCTAAGTGCCTTACTATAGGCTTCAAATTCATATGGGAGGTCAATAGACACCTTACAACGGTTACTGTTTTTTTGAGAATAGCCTCTAATTACAATTCTAGTGTTTCAGACTTGTTTTTAACTAATAAAATGAGTAATGACTGGTGGTGGCTGTTTTCTTAGGATCATGAATTAGTGTTTTCCTTATATGTTATTTTGAGTACGTTAAAATCATCGTAAAGATTATTAAGCTCATGAGTGGATGTTTTACAATCTGTGCAGCTTCCGATGCCAATATATTAGTCAGTTTAGCAACCTCTTTATCAAAGCCAACAAATGCTGCTATGCATGTTACGTCCAAGACAGAGAAAACCACGCAATACCTGTCGTACATTGCGTTTTGCTGGTATTACTTCCTGATCGCAACTAACTTAAAAATTTAAATACATACTTGAGTTTAGCCACAGCATTGGGTAGATTGCATGAGACACATGTGAATGACGATTCCTCGCGGAGGAGTTTCTTTGAGCAAATAGAGCAGCCAATATAAGACCATCCCTCATCTAGCTGAACACCAGTAACTTTGGCAGTACAAAGAAACTTAATGATCTGTCAGAGCATGGAACCAGACATCAGTAGTGAACATATTAGTAGGGGACGAAACTATAATCATATTGTTTTGTACCTGGGGATCACCAGTTAGAACAAAGTTGTTCAGCTCAGGAACGGTGAGAGATGCGATCTGTTAAGCATGAATCACCTTTGTTGAAGACCCTTAATGGTCTGCTCCACCCCCGGCCAAACTGGTACGAAATTCAAAGGAGAAGCAATAAACGGTTTTAAAACAACAATCAAGCTATATAGAAATAAAATAATCAAGCTATAGAGGGGAAAAAATTGGCGATAACTAAAAAGTGGCTAAACATAAAAAACTTGCCGATTTAAACCTCTTTCCCAACAGTAGTCTCACAATCAAAGAATACACGTGTAGCAGAAGTGTCATTCAGATATAACTTGCCACTCCAAAAAAATTCGGAGTTATCAATGAGAAGGTAGAGCGGGAATTTCAAATGCAAAAACAACTAAATCAAACAATCTCTTACCGGAAGCTATCTTAGGATTGATGCTTGTAACCAAGACAATCTTTGGCTCTCCCGTAGCCATCAAATTTTTCATGAAATGCAAGAGCCAAATAATCAAACATAGTCACACAGACATCGACATCACTGCACATAATAATAGGAACAAAGTAAAAAAAACTGTGTTACTGTAAACAGTCATAAAAACTTGGATAAGAGAGAACCTTGCGTACCTCTCCAGACATAATGTTAGCATAACCCGCGGGGACTTGGGAAGACGGTCGGTTAATGTGCTCTTTATCGCACGAAGCTCACCCATAACGTCTAACATATTGTAGAACCCGAAGATTAATTGTTTTGTAAGAAAACAACTTGCAAAACACTAATCAGGAAAAAAAATACCAGGAAGCTGTTTGCCGCTATTTGCGAGCCCACGGATCTGTTCATATTGTCTGGAATCGGAAATGTTCCGTGGGGATAATCCTTGAAGTGGTTGCTATCTTCTGGAAATCAGATCCCTCATTGGAACGAATGGAGACAGGACCATCAGACAGCCTGTATTTTGTGCTGCTCCGTGTGACATCGAACCCACTTAAGGTGTACACCGCTCCTTCGATTAAATCAAGAAAATGGGAAAAAATCATAAAATTAATCAAAGAAAACTACTTATGTGATTGCGATGAATTTGAAACCGGAATAATTGGTGCAATTTTTGTAACTTAATCTACAAAGCGTCAAGAGATTCAACGAAGAAAATAATTATATGTGAGGAAATTATACTTGCTTGTCAATCAGTAACATCTCAACGCTCATCAGTTGTCCCCTTTTGTTGATGTTCCTCGCCTCCCAGAATCTCAGAAGACGGACCTCCGCCGCATTGGAGCATCTCCCGGCTCTCAAGTCAGGAAGAACAGTTTTAAAGTTTGCAGATCTCTTTTGAGTTGGAGTTGGCATGGTATGAAGGTGAGAAAACAAAGAGGTGCAAAGAAATCTTAATGAAGGAGTAGTGGATTAATCAACTGGAAACTCGGAATAAATGACAGAATTAAGAAGATGAGAGACGTTACGGATAGGAGAAAGAGTGTACGATGTCTCTGAAATCTCAGTGTTGAAGGATATAGCGCTAGAAGAAGAGTAAAGAAGAACCCTAAAATCCTATGGGCCACAAAAAATTATGTCAAGATGACTTTACATTAAGATGGGTTTACATGGGCTCACTTGGTAACCTTAAACGTAGCCGAACACACCAATACACGACATAAAGCTGTCACGCGCGGAAGATAGGTAAATGCGTGAGAATCACATAACCAACCACAATTCGACACATGTCGAATAACCCCCCTATCAAGAAAAGGACGTGGCCGCTTGTGTGAGCAGATGGGTGAACTTTATTATTATAGATATATATTTATAGAAATGTTTATACTTAGTTTAGAAAATACTACCATTAACTAATATATTATTATTAGAAATAATTTATCAAATTCCAGTAACTATAATTAATGATCTATGTATAGCTATTTTTTTTGTTTTAAACTTAGAAAATAAAATTAATATTTGATATAAAATTTTAACAAAATTTACGGTCGCCTAACATTAACATAAATGGTACGCTAAACTTGACTCGCTTACTACTTGCATGAGACCTCAGCAACAAAGACATACATACAATAACATAACTAGTCATGAAACCTATTCCCAGCCGAACAACTAAAGAAAGTAGTCCCTTGCTATTTAAATTTTAATAAATAAATTCTGAGACTTGGTCATAACATAGGGCACCTTACTTTTAAGATGTTAAATACGAATTTTAGTAACCATTTTAATTGTTTTCAAATATATTTATGAAAAAGGCAGAATAAATTAAATAAATAAAAAATATGTATTTGAAAATATATGATTGGGCCAATTGACTTTACGGGTTGAGCCCAAATATTAATTGATGAATATTTTCAGTAACAGACGAAAGCCCAAATAAACTCGGACGCGCCAAAGTATCTTATTCTCATCGGCGGCCACTTTTAACGGCGGTCAGTAAAATGAACTCTCTGTTCACCTCCTTCCGCCGCATCCTCCCCCTAAACCCTAATCCCCACCACCAACACTTCCTTCTTCATAAACTCTTCTCATCTCGCCGTTCATTCCCACCTATCCCCATCCAACGGTTACAACAATTACCCGCCCCACCCGATTCAACACGTCATCAACTAACCGTCCCTGATTTCTCACAAACCGATCTCTCCACCATATCGAATCTCCTCGAAAACCATAACGTAACCCCCGGTTCGAGTCTCGAGTCAGCTCTAAATGAAACCGGAATCGAACCGAGCTATCAGCTGGTTCAAACGTTATTCGATCGGTTAAGCTCCTCGCCGATGCTGCTCCACTCAGTGTTCAAATGGGCCGATACGAAGCCTGGTTTTACACCATCTCCGTCATTGTTTAATTCCGTTATCAACGCCATGTGCAAAGCACGTGACTTCGAGAGTGCCTGGTCGTTGATCTTTGATAGAGTGAGAAGCGATGGAGGATCAGGATTAGTTACTGCAGATACGTTCATCGTTTTGATCAGACGGTATGCTCGTGCTGGTAAGCTTCAGTTAAAATTGTTATTCAATGTTATCAGCCGGTTTAGTATGGTTAGATTTTTTATACTATGCGCTAAACCGAACTAAACCAACTTAAATTACGTGTACAATCAATCTAACCATACTAAACCGGATGATAGCATTGAATAAGAATCTCTGTTATAGATTTTGCTTTGAGCTCTCTCTTGTAGGAATGGTTTAGTATGGTTCGATTGTTTTACATGTATATATACTATGCTCGAAACCGAACTAAACCAACGTAAATTACATGTACAATCTAACCATACTGAACCGGCTGATAACATTGAATTAGAATCTCTGTTATAGATTTGCTTAGAGCTCTCTTGTAGGAATGGTTTAGTATGGTTAGATTGTTTTACAACTATATATATACTATGCGCTAAACCGAACTAAACCAGCTTAAATTTCATGTACAATCTAACCATACTAAACTGGCTGATAACATTGAATTAGAATCTCTGTTATAGATTTGCTTAGAGCTCTCTTGTAGGAATGGTTTAGTATGGTTAGATTGTTTTACAACTATATATATACTATGCGCTAAACCGAACTAAACCAGCTTAAATTTCATGTACAATCTAACCATACTAAACCGGCTGATAGCATTGAATAAGAATCTCTGTTAGAGATTTTGCTTAGAGCTTTTCTCTTGTAGGAATGGTGGAACAAGCTATAAAGGCTTTTGAATACGCTACAAATTATGATACGGAGCTTAAGCTTCTCGAGGTTTTGTTAGATGCTCTTTGTAAAGAAGGACATGTTAGAGAAGCTTCAATGTATATGGAGAGAAGAAGAAGGCTGGATTCGAACTGGATTCCCTCTGTTCGGATCTTCAACATTTTATTAAACGGATGGTTCCGTGCAAGAAAGCTAAAGCAAGCAGAGAATCTATGGACAGAGATGAAAGAGATGAATGTGAAGCCGAGCGTTGTCACTTACGGTACTCTAATAGAAGGATATTGCAGGATGCGTCGCGTCGAGATTGCTTTAGAGGTTCTTGAAGAAATGAAAATGGCTGAAATGGAACTGAGTTTTATGGTGTTTAATCCGATAATCGATGGTTTAGGAGAAGCTGGGAGGTTACAAGAAGCTTTAGGTATGATGGAGAGGTTTTTTGTTTGTGTTTCGGGTCCTACCATAGTGACTTATAACTCACTGGTTAAGAACTTCTGCAAGGCTGGAGATTTGGCTGGTGCTAGTAAGATACTCAAGATGATGATGAACAGAGGAGTTGATCCTACTCCGACTACGTATAACCATTTCTTTAAGTATTTCTCTAAGCATAACAAAACTGAGGAGGGTATGAACTTATACTTCAAGTTGATTGAAGCTGGACATAGTCCAGATCGGCTTACGTATCATTTGATCTTGAAAATGTTGTGTGAGGATGGGAAGCTGAGTTTGGCGATGCAAGTGAACAAGGAGATGAAGAACAGAGGCATTGATCCCGACTTGTTAACGACCACGATGCTAATTCATTTGCTCTGCAGGCTTGACATGTTGGAAGAAGCATTTGAGGAGTTTGAGAAGGTGGTGAGGAGAGGGATAATTCCACAGTATATTACATTCAAGATGATTGATAACGGTTTGAGAACGAAAGGGATGATCGAGATGGCGAAGAGATTAGCCTGTGTAATGTCTTCTCTTCCTCACTCGGAGAAACTACCGAATACATACAGAGAAGTGGTGGATGCGCCTCCTGGTAGAGATAGAAGGAAGTCTATATTGCATAGAGCAGAAGCAATGTCTGATGTGTTGAAGGGTTGTAGAAACCCAAGAAAATTGGTGAAGATGCGTGGATTTCCCAAAACAGCTGTTTCCAAAGACGAGAAGGTTGTAGATGATGTAAATGGACGAGATCGAGATGGAGATGGAGATGCAGTGAGAGAACCGCATAGATCTTCAAGTCCTTCGTTCTAAACTGATGTGAGGAATGAAGTTATAACGGGCTTGAAATGGGCTGTTTGGACTTTGGGTTCCACTTCATCTTGAATAGAACTTTATGACAACATTTTTCATGTATTTGTAGTAACCCATAAGAGCAATTCTATCAAGGTTCTTTTAGTCTTTGATCCAAAAAAAAAAAAAACAAGGTGTTTTAGTGATTATAGATAGGTATGCTTAGAAAATATATACTGAGGAAAACAAACATTCCCTGTTTATGGAAAAAGGTATTTTGACACTTTTTTTGTTCACGTAGAGAGTGTCATTTTAAAATCATAATACAATTTATACTTGTTTCTATTTTAGAATTAATTTTAAAATTCAAATTTTATAGTTAATTTTATTTAGTTTAAATATTATTGATTAAAATGTGTAATTAATAAGAAAATCAATGAGTTTAAATCGTTTTTAATTTCTCTGAATAGTGTTAAAACTTAGGTGCTTTTGTGCACCATATGCAGTAATACAATTTTTAATATAAATTATAATTTTGTTAACATTTTTAGATTTTATTATTTTATTATCGATATTTTAATATAAATAACAATTTTTTAAACATAAAAATTAAGATAAATAAAAATTATTTTATTTTAAAAGAGTGTTTACTAATAGACATGTATATGTTTATAATTATAATGTTAGATATATTTTTATCTATTTTTTGTTAAAATATATTAAATCAACTTTTCAAGAAAAATTATTTTGATATAAATTGTTATATAATTATCAAAAAGTAAAAATATATAGTATTTTCGCAAATTTTCAGATATCAAAAGGAAACTAATGGTATTAAGATTAAAATTTTATTTTTTTATAAAAAGACATAAAATTTTGAAGTTAATAATAAAAAATTAAATAATTATAAAAATTAAATTAAATAATTTTTGAATTTTTTTTAAAAAATATATATATTTATTATACTATTTTATTTAATGTTATATTTAAATATATTTAATTTAATAATGATGTATCAGCTTTTACCATATTTAAAAAGTTTACTAGAAATATAAAATAAAATGTAATTGTCCATGTTACAATTAGTCATAAACCATATCATAATTGTTAGTGTTCCATCTCATCTTTTTAAGTAAAATTGATTGTACGAGAGAACACGTAAGTAAAAAATAAAAAACTAATTCTCAAAGTCTAGGGAGACATTTTTGAAATGAATTAAGTATTAAATATATTTAAAACAAAATTATTCATGTATCTGTTTAGATGATTATACCAAAATGTTAGATTTTTGGTTTTATAGAAAACTGAACTAAATGTAAACCAAAATTTGGCCCAACCATCAAATCTTGGTTATGAGTTTCCAAGCTCAATAACTAAAAGCCAAAATAATCAACCAACTGAAAGCAAATAACTGAATGGCCACTTCTGTGTCTACATAATGGCTATGTGTATTATCGAATCCTGCTAAAATTCGATCACGTGCGATATATATCTCTAACATAGACTTGTCATATAAGTGGAAAACGTATATTCCACATGTAAACAGAAGAAATAACTGAGAAGGGTTGTGAATAAACAAGAAGAAAAACAAAAAGACAGAGGGAATCAAAAGGAGTAGGGATAGTGAAAGGTCCCTCTCCTTCCTTTCAAGCCCTATACGTACGTAATAAACACAGAGGATGATGACATAAACTCTTACTATTAGGTTTTGAAACTGTTGTATATAATTTGTCAGCGAAGGTCAAGCTGTCCTTTAAAGCAACGTACCACTGAGATACTTCAGTTCAGGCCCCACTCTTCTTCTTCCTAATATTCTAATAATTTTGAATACTGCATATGCTTTGGTTTTGTAAGTGAGGTGCTCAATCATATTTCATCTATCATCATCAAATCATCACTACCCAAGTTTGTGATTTTAATTTGAGGTGAACGAGAAGAAAAGGTGAAAAGGCAGCAAGAGAAAATATTATATTTAGAATTATGAAAATTCTCTAAGTTATTACCTAGCTAGATGGTAACATTGCATGGAAATTAGTTTAAAAAAAAAACACTGCATGGAAATTCTTTAAAACAATAATTAAAGATTAAATACTATTACTGGAAGTACTGTTTGTATCTAATAGTATTGCAGAAAACTTACCATGGTAAATGCAATGCATGTCCATTTGCTATAGGTAGAATTGTTTCGAAATAGTTACAACTGTTGTACTTGTATGTAATCAAACTATATACAAAACTAATCTGTAATCTATTATTTCAATAATTATTTTTGATTAGAAACTTATCATATTTAGTATATATTTTTTCAAGTAAGTTGGTAGTATATTTTAGCTAAATTGTTACTTATTTTACATTTTAGACTATATAATAAATACTGATTCCACAAACAAAACAAATATATATTCGACCATATAATTCTTTTGTAATTTTAGATCAGCTGTTTATTTTAAAACATAAAAAAGAAACAGCCGAAACATTAACACCAAACTTGACTTTTAAAACTTATCATTTAATAATCATCACAACTTTCAAAACCTTTCCCCAAAAGCCTATCAATCTTTTCACATTAAATGTTGCTTCTAACTAAAATTTAACCCATCTGGTGATATGACGTATGGTACCTTTATAAATCTACGAAGCACACAGATACACAAGTTGCTTCTCCGTGTGCATTTTACATGCATACTTATATATATATATTCTTTATATATATATGACGTTAGCATATAAAAGAATGCGAGAGAAGATCTTGTCTGATAGTTCTCGTACGAAATGATCCAAAATCTGTCAGAGCTCCATCATTGTCGTCCTCGTCGACAGCTGATAAAATTGATAATCTATTATTTATAATTCACGTAAACTCATTACTGACAATATATTGACCATTTTCTAAATAAATCATTAACTAATTACTAGGTGTATGCTCTTTTGTAATATTCACAGTCATTATCATCACTCAGTCACAGTCTATCCCATACGTCAAAATGATGGCCAAATCATAAACCTATAATTTTAGTTTATAAAAACTGAAAATATCAAAATTATATATATGTGTATGATATTACGTATATCTTGGAAGTAATTCATGTCACTGTAATTTTTTATTATTTTATTCAAGCCTTTGTTGATTAAATTAATACACACAAGACAAATAAATTGAAAAAGTGAAAAAAAATTCGTACAGTTAATAAAAGTTAAATGTTGATCATATAAGTATCAGATTTTAACGATTATTTAACCATCATGCTGCAAACAAAATATAGTGTGAAACCATCAGATTTTTTTTTCCTAAGAATGTGAATATCATTAATGAAATGAACAATTGATACAAGTTTTTAGCTTGGATCCCATTCTGCTTTCAAAGCACGATTGGTACTAAGTGCAAAAAGTAAAAAAAAAAACACTTAGGAACCTAACTGAGTCCTGGCTAGAATTTAATATATATGTTACATAATGTTTTAATGATTCAGTACGTTACATAATGCATAGTTGATTTTATCGAACGTGAAATTGATGTATGGTCAATCGAAGTAAATCTTTGTGGACTCCATGCAATATTGAAGGACAACACAGAGTGGTTACTGCACACAGAAATGAATAATGGAGAACTGTGTTTCATGTCGCTAGCAATTCATGCAGAAGCACATACATATTATGAAAGTCCATAGCTTATTGTTGTATAATAAAATACCAAATGTCAAAAAATTGGGTCGTTGGAAAATTATGAATGTGTGTTTCCCTATAAAAATTACAGATTATGTGATAAAAAAATTGCAATTTAATTTTATGAAAATGCGTACAAGAACAAAATAAAATAGATTTATTATGATTTGTTGAACTGAAAGTGAATAATATGGGGGGAACTACAGATATTACTACTACCCAACGGACCATTCATTTTCATCCACTGTTCTGTTATATCCTCCGCGATCTTGACGGCGTCAAAGGCCGTTCCCAAGAGCCCTCTTCTCGTGAAACCCACCGTGTAAAGCCCATTCTCTCCTTTCCATCCGTTTGGAAACGGCGTTTTAGGCATTCCTTCCTTTGTGAAAAAACTATTGTCCTGTAAAATTTCAGAGGACATGTACTTTATTTTCATTTCTTAAAATAAAATAAAAACAATAAAAAAACAGGGGAAATGAGAAAGTGAAAACACGGGAAAGAACAAGAGTTTTGTCATCTTTATACATTTATTTGTAATTTTACGGAATGTTTTTAAACAGTGAAAAGGGTTTTTAATTCCATTTTGCATGGAGAAAAGAAGAGTTTTGGAATGTTGTTCCCTTTGTTGCATGTGTTGGGTCCATATCAAAGAAAGCGATGGATGATTCGCTAAATGATAACACCAAAAACTATTATTATCTATCTACACTCTTTGTACCCTTATCAATAATATATGCATAACCTCATCATTTTGACCATCACTGTTATTCCTGAAAACGAAGTTATTCTCAATTGCATGCGTATGTTGTTGGTTCTCATAATTTCATCATCATCACCATATTCAAATGCAAAAGAGGCCGTGAGAAAAAAATATTAATATATGCTTTTTTTAGTACCTTGAGCCAATCGGGCACATTACTCTTATACCCGGTCGCTAGTATTATCGAGTCGAACTCCATTTCTTGCCCGTCCACAAACTTTGCTCCTTTTCTCGTTATTTCTTTCACCGCTTGCGTCACCTAATAGTTCATAACCACAAGACCAACCATTTACGTTAGAAAAATAAATACAAAAAATCATTAAAATCAACTATATTATACTCTCTTTGTTCCTAAAAAATCAATATTCTAATTTTTTCACACTTTTTAATAAAACACAATAAATTTGCATAGTTTTTTGTATTTATTTTTTCCATAGTTTTAAACCAATAAAAAATTAATTGCACTAATTTTTTTTTTTTAAATTTACAATTAGTTAATAAAACATGCATTGAAAATGTAAAAATTGATCTTTTAGAAACAATTTTTTTTTTCTAGAATATGTATTTTTAAGGAAGTAGTAAAAGATACAAACAAACACGTGTAAACAACTACTCTTCTTAGTTAAAAGCAACTGCCAACTAACATTAAGTGATCAATAAAATCATAATAACGAACTTACTCTAATTTGACCGGACTGTATCAAAGCTATGGCGCCGACATCAAGAACCGGAGTTTTCCCGGTTACATTTTTAAGCTCAATAGGTCCGGTTTTAGGTCGACGGAGGCCTAACCGGTCGGTATTGCCCAACGAAAATTTAGCAAGAAGTAGGAGCAAATTGTCCACCAGCTTTAGAGGAAACCATTTCAATAGTGTCATTGCTATTCCAAAACTCGATAGACCAAAACAATCTCTTGGTAATACATGTACCTGCATCATTATAATAAGTAATTAAATAAAAATCCAATTAGCTCAGCCATAATCCATTTTTTACGTATCACTAATTAATTACTTACCGAGTTTCTAACGACCATATGAGGCAGAGCATTGTATCTACAAAGATCCAAGCACACCTCCATACCGGAATTTCCACAACCAACCACCAAAACCTTCCGGTTAGCAAACTCCGAACCGGACTTGTACGCACTAGTGTGAACAACCGGTCCAGTAAACTTCTTCAAACCAGGTATATCCGGTATCACCGGTTCAGCGTTTTCCCCCGTTGCCACTACGAGCCACGTGGATGAGTACACAGCGTCTTGCGTCTTCACAGTCCATAGACCAGTGGCGACATCGAACTCGGCTTTCTCAACGGTTTGGTTAAATACCGGTTTGATATTAAACCGGGCAGCATAAGACTCAACGTAGGAGATGAACTGTTGCTTGGAGGGGTATCTTGGGAAGTTTTTAGGGAATTTCATGAGAGGAAGCTCGCAGAAGTGTTTAGGGAGATGGAGTTTAAGACGGTCGTAGGTACGTTTTTGCCATAAAGAAGCTAAACAATCGGTTCTCTCGAGTATAACCGATGGCACGCCTCGGTTTGATAAACAAGCGGCTACGGATAAACCGGATGGACCGGCACCGACGATGATTGGACCGGTAACGAAGATTCGACTATGTTTTTCTTCTAAACAAGAGCTCATGTTTGACTAGGAAATACAAAGAAGGAGGAGAAGGAGAAGGTGTCTTTATATTTTTTTCTCTGACGATCACATGCACCTAAGAAGTGTCTTGTTTTAGGGTCTTTTCTTGATTGTTTCTCGGGAAAAATCAAGAAACGAAGTTGGAAAGTATTAAGATGAGGTTTAAATGCTATAGAGAGAGAGAGAAGGCGTGAGAGAAAAGGAAAGGATTTTTGTGTGTTGTGTGTTTTTCAATGACTAATAAGTAAATGGGTTTAATTTATGGGTTTTTCATCTTCTTGTTGTTTGGGTGTTGAGTGAGGAGATCGTGTGTTGTTAATGAAGTGCAGGGAGTAGAGTAGGTCAAAGATGGAGAAAATTGGCGCTGGTATTAAATATAACTACTGGTAAAAATCTTTGCCATAGATTCTTTAATACTACTAGTCAAACTGGTTTTTTTTCTTCTACGATTAATGACTAGATTTACTGCTACAAATGTTACTTAAGCAAATTCTTTTGCATTTTTGTGGCTTGGTTGTACCAAAACTCTGCCGGAATGTATTATGCTGAAAAACCATGTGAGTATTTAATTTTTAACTGCATGTTATTAAATATTCTTTTCAAATAACTTTTGTATTTCATAGTAGGACGTAAAAAAAAAGTATTTCATTCTAGGACTCTCGTTTATTTAAGGTTGTTATAATGTGCTAAGAATTTGTTTAAAATGCGATGATGTTTAAAATGGGATATTGTATTTTAACGATATAACACCGGCTTTATAATTACACCAACAAAACAATATAACACCCGTTAGGGCATCTCCAACCCAACTCCATTTTTTACTTCAAAATGGAGTAAAAATGATTATAGAGTAAAAAATACTCTAATCCCACTTCATTTCTTACTCCATAATGAGATTTACTCCATAAATGGAGTAATCTATTTTTTCTTTGTTCACTACTCCATTATGGAGTTACAAATAAAGTGGGGTTGGAGCATTTTTACTTCATAATCACTTTTACTCCATTTTAAAGGAAAAATAGAGTTTTACATTGGAGATGCTCTTACACCGCCTTTGATATTGTACTGTATTTGCGTTGACGTCTTTATGATGTAGATGGATTTTAATACTTGAAATTAAATACCATCATTATATTATATTAGTACCTTTTTATTATTAATCTTTTACCGAAAGCTTGTTGAGGTCAAGACAGTACAATACAAGACTCATTTAACAATCTTTTTAAAACATTATATATTAGTATGGCCCTTTTTACATCATTGCTATTCATGGAGAATCACTTAAAAACTAAAACAAAGTTAACATTTTAATAACTAAATAAAACCCTGAGCAAGAAGGAATAAAGGTGTATAACTGTAAGCTCTTTCGTTATTTTTTATTAGCAATTTTTTTAAGAACATCCAAAAGTTCTTAGAAAATATAATAAATATTTATTGGCTACTGTTAAAGACGATAACTCCTCTCCTCTCCTCCTTAGTTTTGTTATATGTTTGATCGCCATATCCACAGGAGAACACAGCTTAATTTGCGTGGAAAAGAAAGATAATCAAAATTAATAGTAGCAACACTTTGGTTTTAATAAGTAGTTATGTGGAAAATGTAATTGCGTTGCGCATGAATGACCACTCCTTCGTTAAATGTCGTCTAATGCAGCCGACCTCCACCTCCCCTATGATCCTTTGAGGTTACATTACAAATATATAACATATTTTATGCAAAAGCAACTTTTCCTAAATAAATCATTTAATCTAGTTATACTAGCAGCTTTCATCCAAAGTTTATTGGGTGGCTTTTTATAATAATATGCTGGTAGAATCAAAACCTAAGACTAAGATATCATATGTAAATTGAAGTTAGAGATGACGATAAAGAATGAGACAAAACTATTATTTTAAAGAAGAGAAAAATGCGACTTGTTATATGGATTTAAAAATGCATGCGAATGGTTGTGTTTAAGAGGTAAATCAATTATTTCATGCATGCTAAACCTAAGATCATTGAGTAAGGTTTGACCTTGTTAATGTATCAATATCATCTCACATAATTAAGACGTGATGATACCATCGTGAATGGTTAAATAGCCAGCTACTGTAGTCTATATTATCTTACTTTTGGGGTTTATTTTTTTCGTGGAAACATAAACTATACATACTCTTTAACCTGGGTGCATTATGCATATTATTACATAGAGCCAAATGTTTTCTTGTGCTCCAATCAACTAAGAAACTTATCCCTCTAAATCAAAAGCAATTGATTGCTTTGATCATACTAGTATTATTTAATTACCATGCTAAATTTATTAATTAATTATAAGGCTTATTTGATACTCCACATATGTCTTCAATAGATATGATTATTTGATTTACTTCGTCTTTTTATAATAGTTAATAAGTATATACTTTTAAGAACTTTTGTATATTGAGAGTAATAAAACTCATTCTGCATGTGTATTTAGTCATACTAAACCTCACTTTGTGGTAAAATAAAACTAGTTGCAAATATACATACCCTAAGCCTTGGATGAAGATACCCTTTTGGACAGGACAATCTAATTTCAAAATCTGTAGCACTATGCAAGATTTTCAAAGTCCAGGTGTACATTAACTAGTGATAGACCAAGAACCACCGTCGACTTAAAATTTATACTTGGGGGCGAAAGTGAAATGTGCTTATACGTACAACATAAATTTATTTTTTGTACAACATAAGTTTTAAAAATCAAACAAATTCTAGATTCATTATCGATGCATGCTTCGTGTGATAGAATGGTCCTTAGTCCTTGTCTTTTGTTAACTAAAATGGTCCTAACCTCCAGTTGAATAGAGTCTAGACTCCATGACTAAGCTGGAAGAAAAACACAAGCCATACAAGTGTATTGGCTACTAGTAATCTACGTTATATGCATGTTACGTGGTGTAACGATGGTCCCTTTGGTTAGACGAGGAATATTGGGGTTCTTGGATGGATCAACATCAACAGTGTTGTTTGTATATACTATCGATATTGGCAAAAATATGAATATTAACACTGTAGACAAAAGATATTTGACCCCACACAAGCGTCATATATCTTGGTCTTCTACATATATATTCCTGTCTTCAATTTTCGCCTTCTGCATTTTTCCGACTCAGAGCTCTTTGGAATTTTTCTGCAGGCTTGAATTAGGCCTCAATTTGTCTCATCGCGTAGTTACATGCCCACACACATAAACAAGCATTATATATACTGATATACACATGGCATGTTAGAGACCATCGTGACAAAAAAGGCATGTTAGAGAAATGAGATAGCTTAGTTGAGGAACCGGAGGGTTATATGTAATATTTTAGAATTGGACTATACTACTCAAGTAACTCATATCAATAGAGGTCACTTAACTCAAAATTAGTTTCATCGATTATAATATGGTACGATAAAATGGTATTGATAGTTGTTTAGTTTTTTTGTAACACCAATAGTTGTTTAGTCAGCGAGAATTGTTTTTTTTTTCTTTTTTTCTTTTTTGTTACACCAATATTTGTTTGGTTAGTGACTATTAAATAGTGGTATTAAAACAATTGAATATCTGGTTACGTAGTTGTTTAGTGGCTAACTTGGTTCGACGGTTAAAAACGTTCTGGATTTTCTAGAAGAACCATGGTGGTGGCATGGTCCATGGTTTGAGCTTAATTTTCCTTTTATTCAAAAACAAAACAACTTAATTTCCACCGTGATATTGTAGAAAAAGGGAAAAATGATATCTTATGCAGTTATGCACACTTTTGTATAATTTTTTGACAGGCATGCAAGACGTAATTTGGAAAATATCATATATTACATGATACCTTAATGGATAGTTTCGAAAATATCCCAACATCGATTTTTTTATTCGTAGTGGTGTAAGAAAAAATATATAAAAAGTGTAATGGATAGTTTTTTTTTTTTTGGTAATCATGTTAAATAATGTAATGGATATTTATACTTGTATAACTAAAAATGTTTTTTTTTGTGTGATGCATCCATCACATCAATGCTTTGAGTCTTATGCATAATGAACAATAAACAAAAAAGTACGTAATATATAAAACAGTCCCAAGAACATGAAGAATTCTAAAAGTAGCGTATCGATTCGGCAAGCCGCAAGCATCTCCCAAAAAATCTACAGTCACAAAAGTGTCATCTTATGCAAAATAAAAGAGATGAGAGAAGGGACGTAGTTTGATCATTACAGAACAGTTTACAGATATCAATTCAAAACAAAGCAAATGCGTCTGTAGTCCAACGGTTAGGATAATTGCCTTCCAAGCAATAGACCCGGGTTCGACTCCCGGCAGACGCAAATGTTATTTTTTCATCTCCTTCTAACAATACAATTTTATCATCGGGAAAATCGCATAAAAAACCTTCAAGGTGGCAACCAGTTACACTTTAAACTCTGAAAGTATTTTACAAGCACTTTAAACACTCAAGTTGGCAAATTTAGCATATTAAACCTCCAATCTGGCTTACTTGTACATCAAGTTAAAAATGTGACCGACTGTTCAAAAACGATGACGTGTCGGTTTTTTTTTTTTTAAATATTTTACGAAAAAATAAATATAAAAATACAGAAAATATAAAAATTCATTAAAAATCATTAAAATTCATTAAAAATTGAAAAAAATCAGAAAAATTCAAAAAAAATCAGAAAAATCATAAACATTGAAAAATCGCAAAATAATTAAAATATTTTATTAATAAAATATTAAAAATAAGAAAAACTTAAAAGAAATTATAAAAAAAATCCCAAAATAAGAAAATTCAAAAAATTTTAAATAAAAAATGAAATTTAAATAAATTAATATAAGAATAATAGATAAAATAAATATAATTTCAAGAATAAATAATTTTATTTGTTTTATAAAAAAACGAGAAAACACTATATTTTTTTTTTAAAAAAAAGAATCATTATCTTCAAATGATTCTCGTGAACCAAATCAAAGCAAACAAATTAAATTCCAAGTCATTTTGTTCTCATTTTGTTGCTTATTAGTCAAGGTTTTCTGGATTTTATAACTAGATTAATATAGGGTATTTTAATAACTGCTAAAAGATTTGGATTTTAACTTGTTTCCTTTGATTTGGTTCACAAG